TTTCTTTCTTTCTTTCTTTCTTTCTTTCTTTCTTTCTTTCTTTCTTTTCTTAAAATGCCAGAAGTGAAATGTCAGGTGAGCTGGCTTTTGACTCGTAGCTGTGAATGGTTGCAGTTGGTTCCCAAAGAAGAATAGAGTTGCCTGAAGCTCTGATGAGTGCAGCTACTGGCTACCAGGGTCACCGAGATGTTTCTTCTGATGTCTTTACTCTGAATGGCACCTCAGCTCTCCTCCCTCTCGTCATGACAGGAATTCTTCAGCCAGCTGGACCAGAGGGTCCTCAATGCTTTCCTAAAAGCCTGTGATGAGCTCACCGACATCCTCCCAGAACAGGAGCAGCAGGGGCTGCAGGAGGCCGTCAGGAAGCTGCACAAACAGTGGAAGGTGAGGGTGGAATTATGGGAACTCGAGAAATCCATGTCCTAGAATCTGTTCTGCAATTTGGAGAGCTGGAAGTAAGAGAAGACTAGTTTAGGACCTTTGGGCATCTCAGTAGGGCACATACCTAGTCAGAGGACCCATTCTGTTTTTCTGGGTCTTTCTGTGGATGCAGGATCTCCACGGAGAAGCACCTTATCATTTGCTCCACCTAAAAATCGCTGTGGAGAAAAACAGATTCTCAGCTGCTGTGGAAGAGTGCAAGGCTGAGCTGGAGAGAGAGACCAAGCTGGCTCCCCAAGAAGGGAGCGAGAAGATCATCAAGGAACACAGGGTATGTGCCACAATATGTAAAGTGTATAACTACGTAAAAATATTTAAAGATATAGTGTTCTGAGGGAAATGGTTTCACTACATTGGTTCTTTCTATGAATCTGCCATTAGCGTCTCTGTGGGAATATAGAGGAGTTTTGTGGCTTCTCACCAAGATAGTGAAAGTGTTTCTGTGTCTTAGGTTTTCTTCAGTGACAAGGGCCCTCACCATGTCTGTGAGAAGAGGCTACAGATCATAGAGGAACTATGTGTGAAGCTCCCAGGCCGGGACCCAGTAAGGGACACATCTGGAGCCTGTCACAGGGCTCTCAAAGAGCTCAGAGCTTCCATTGACAACACTTACAAGATGCTTGTGGATGACCCAGACAAGTGGATGGACTACGCCAGCAGGTAGCGGAGTGTCTCCAGAGAAGGCTCCAGTCTGCATCTTCCCTCTTCGCTCCAGACATTGTTATAAGACAAGGAACAGGAAAATCAGCTTCTTTTAATCTTGCCCATGATGTTGTATGAACATACTTTATTCGTTTTGTTGTTTGTTTTATGTTGTTTTTTAAGTAGGTTTCAGTCCAAAACAGGGTCTTGATTTTATTTAAAAATAGTCCAGATGTTCTTGAAGTCAAATAATCCCAGTCTTCTTGCTTTTCTCATATTCCTTCCTCAGAAGGGGTTGCCCGCCTTTATTGGTTAATAGCACTCTGGTGAGATGGATTAAGCCAGATCTCAGGTGTTCCTTCCCTCTCAGGCCCTGAGACAAATCTTTGTTTTCAGCTAGGCAACCTTTAAGTTAGTGACCTCAGATATTAACACACTTGCCTTGGGCTCCATGTTAAAGTTTTCATAAAATCCCATCAATTCGGTCATCACTTACTCAACGTCCATGAATTCAAAATAGAAAATGTTTCTCACCATCCTGAGAGTTTGCTTCTTCCTTTTAAAATTCGTGTTTGCTTTCAGGTTCTCTGAAATCTCATCTTGGGTGTGTGCAAAAGATGCATGGTTGAAGAAAATCAAGGATGAGCCCCTCGACAGTGCCAACCATGACGAGGTTAAGCATGCAGTGGACGTAAGTTCTAAGCTGGTCCTCACTAAAGAAAAAATTCCAACAATCAAACACTCCTATGTTTGTTGGTTTGCTTAGTGTGTGTGTGTATGTATGTGTGTGTGTTTTCTATAAAAAACAGGTTCCTCTCTTTCTTTAAAGACAACATCTCTTCTTAATTACTATGGGGAAGGGTAGGTTCCCCCCTTCTATGGAGCTGTTGATAGTTTTGAGATTTAAGCACTCTTAGTGATGCCCCTAATGCAGCTTTACCTGATGGAGAATGCTGAGCAGGAAATAGCATGCATGGTTGTATAACACAGCATAGACTGAAGAATTGTCAGGGCTGGGTGGTGATGGTGCTCACCTTTAATCCCAGTACTTGGGAGGCAGAGGCGGGTAAATCTCTATGTGGTCAAGGTCAGCCTGGTCTACAGAGCTAGTTCCAGGACAGCCAAGACTACACAGAGAAAACCTGTCTCAGAAAACCTACCAACCAACCAAACAAATAAATAACAAGAATTGTCACAGTAAACCAGAATGCTCTGTGTTTCTGTACAATACAGTTTTAACCAGACAACTTGAGGACATGGAAGAAGTAGGGAATTCCCTATAGTATTCTGCTATAATCAGGCTGGAGTGATCAATTCCTCTCAGTTGCTTTAGAGGCAACAAACCCAGCTATGGGAAGAGAGCTCCAGATCTGAATATCATGGTATTCTGTGACTCGCACACAGCAGCCCTCGCTCTTAGCAAGACCTTCACTTGGTATCTATTTCTCCAGCATTTCTAATATTTGAAAGTCACATAAAAGAGCTTTGTTCCTTTTGCCACTGTCTTCTGGGTTCTTTTTTTCTCATATGAAGAACTCAGTAAATTTGCTGTGTACTTACATAAAATAGGTGTCCTGCTTGCTGCTGTTTTAGGTTTGTTTGTTTGTTTTATCTTATCTTGAATGCACTGGTCAGTTTTGAACCCAGCTGCTTCCTGTCTGGTATGCATTTTCCCCTGCCCTAAGCTAACGATAGCTGGTATAGGTGGCTGCCCCAGGAACCATGCCCTCTACCACTAGTCCTGAGACTTAAAGTTGGAATCTCCCCAGCATCACAGTGGCTAGTGAACCCTCCTTGCTAATTAGAGCTTGGTCCCACAAAGATGTGTATCTTTGCTGGCTAGTTTTATGTCAACTTCACGAAAGTTTGCTATGATCAAGGAAATATCGATTAGCATCTAATCTAATTCCAAAGGTGACTTTTGCCCATTAGGTATGGGAATTGGGAAGCCCTTCCTTTTGGTACTCGTTTACAGTGAGTCCAAAGAGCGCTGTGAGCTCTCTTCCTCTCTTCAGTCTGTTACCATAAAGCGCTAGCTCACGCTACTAGGATCACATTATGCTTCTTGGCTTGAGCTCTTTCCTGCTAGAAAGTTGTGATCCATGATAACTCTTTGTTAATTAAAAACAAACAAACAAACAAACCCAAAACACACGTCCTTTTTATTCCAGGAGATCAGAAATGACATTACCAAAAAAGGAGAGCTTCTCAGCTGGCTGAAATCCAGGCTTAAACATTTGATTGATGTGTCCTCTGAGAATGAAGCCCAAAAGCAAGGAGATGAGCTGGCAGAATTATCAATCTCTTTCAAGGCTCTTTTGGCTTTACTGTCAGAGGTACGTCATTTACTGTGCTAAACAGCATCCCCGGGGAGGAGGCTGCAGGGCCATCCTTGTTTTGGTTGTGGTTTAGTAAGCAGTTTTACAAGGAAATCGTAGTTATTAATATGAAGATTGTTACGAACGATGTGCAGGATGCTCAAGTTATGGACAATGCTATTGGCTGGGAATTTCAAGTTAATGACCTAAATCTAAACTCCAAAGATAAGCAGTCAAATGGTTTCTGCTCATACTAGAAGCATCATTATTTCATGAATACATAAGGATAGATTTCAAATTTTAGGAAGAAAGGGTTGAGAAGCCTACTTTAATTATGCATACTTGTAATCCTGAAGGAGAACAGTAGGTTCAAGGGCAACCTGGGCTATATACAACAAGTTCAAGACTAGCGTAAGCTATATAATTAGATCCTACCTATAAACAAACAAATAACAGAAAAGGGAAAAAAAGAAAAGAAATACACTTAGAAGTCAGAGAAAGCCAGCTTCACTTACGCTTTATACCCTACTTCTTTATTGTCTTGAGTTTTCTTATTCAGTGCCTCTAGGCCCCTAGTTCCTTACTTTTAAAGCAGAATTTAAAATGCACTAATGAGGAAGCAACAAAGACTAAAACCAGTACCTTAGGTAAAGCACTTGGAAGAGTGTGGAGACTGATAAGTCTTCATTAGCTGCTAGCCAGTACTAGTAGTAATATTAATAGTTGGAAGACCAGAAACATTCCATTTTAACAGAGGCCTAACTCATTCTAAACTTAATATGCATTCCAATGGAATAAGCTATATTCCATTATAGGTTAAAATACTTAAATTTCATGTCTAGTAGGGCCTCTTCCACTGACTCAGTGTATACGTAGGAAGCTTAAGAAGGCAACATGGAACCAATTTTAAGCTCATGGATTTGTGGCCGGAAGGCAGTCTAGAGCAATAAAGTAGTACTGGAAGGACACTTTCACCAAATGTTCTATTATTTTCTTCTCAGTTTCTCTCCCCTATTGGTTTTAAATAGTATGGACTCAACATTTTGTATAAGGCATTATCATAGCCAGATAATATTCATGAGATTATAATCAAGGGACCCCAAGATATGAAGTACAAAGGAGATACAACTTTATTATTCTATGTTGACTATCAAGCCATGTACACTTTTCTTTTCTTAATTTTAGAATAGGTTCTTAATAGGGTGCAGAATACTGTCCAATGAAATAAAATTCTCAATACCTCTAAGTGGCTGTACCATTTAAACAACAGTTAAATAAGACTTAAAACTATGCAAAACAAAAAAAAATAGATATGTAAGAATTTGGTTTTTAGCTGTTGATACGTAGTTTATATATATACTTAAAACAAGTATCATTGATTTCAACGGAGCAATTTTATTCAACAAGCATAAACTTTGAAGTTATCAGTTCTGGAGGTGTAATGTATGGTATGATAAACAGAACAATTTCATATATTTGAAATTACCGAAGACAACAGACTCTGAGTCTCTCACAAACACAAAATGTGCATTGCCAAGTAATGGAAGGACTAGTTAGCTTTGTTAGCTTATTTCTGAGAGCGAGAGCACTGGCCCGGCAGTTCAGTGCATAAGACGTTCTCCCACAGGGCCAGGTTAGGTTCCTAGCACCTCTGTGACAGCTCACAGTGGTCTCTAACTCCACCCCCAGGGGATCTGAAGCCCTCTTCTGGCCTCTGCAGGCACCAGGCATGCAGGTAATGCAGAGATAAATTCATGCAAAACACTTATTTACATAAATAAAAATTAGTTTTAGGTCACTTCATAAATTGTACTAAAGCATATCATTGTGTAGCTTAGCTGTATATAATGTCAGTTTGTCAACCTCATCTCCATGTAAAAAACTATTCCACAAACTTTGCTAACTAGTGTTAAAGTTATTTTTATAAAACTGTTTCTCTCTTAATCTGGCTATCATAGAAATAATTGAGACACTTTTATATTTATTTAATAATAAGCTTCACAACACAATAACTGAGCAGTTAGTACTCTATTCTTAACACTCTAAGCTAATCTGGTTTCCTCTCAGTGTACATCCCAGAGATACTTACACTTTGTAGCTCTCTGATATCCCCTAGATCTCTCCCTGGCTGAATCTACTACTTCCTCCTCTAAGTCCTCCTCCCCTGGCTGGCAGGAAGTCCAGCTCTATTCTCTCCCCTGCTCAGTGATTGGATGTAAGCTACTTTATTGACATGCCAGGGAACAACTGGGGAACAGAGTTTACACAACATTGAGACAGGAGATTCTCAGAACAAGGATTGCAATCAATGGGGGGGGGGAGGGAGGCAGAGAAATCAGTATTTGAATTACACAATAACCTTATGTCTACAAAGTAGCATATGATTTACTTTTTTTTCTGTGAAAATTTAGGTTGAAAAGATGCTAAGCAACTTTGGAGAATGCGTTCAGTACAAAGAAATAGTGAAAAGTTCCCTTGAGGGGTTAATGTCAGGCTCCCAAGACAGCCAGGAAGAGGCTGAGAAGATCCTAGACACAGAAAATCTGTTTGAAGCACAACAGTTGCTCCTTCATCACCAGGTAAAGAGTCTTCTTTACTCACCACATGTGCAATGCTGATGAGAGATGGAGACTAGGTTCTGAGGCTGGGGATGGAGAGAGGGAAAGGAAGAGAGAACTGGTCTGATGGTTCAAAGCACTTGGCAATTCTGTTCTTTGCACTCTCTGATAAACATTACATATTTCAGAGTACCCTAGATGACAAACTCCTAGACATTTTAGTTTGAAAATTATAACTTACTTGAAGTGCCAGATGGTTCAGGTGAGTTTGCTCTTGCAAAAGATTACAAACTAAAAGCAAAGAAATTATATGTATGCATGTATAGGTACATATGTGTGTATGTATCTATACATGTATGTGTATATATACATATTATATATGTGTGTATATATATGATTGTATATATGTATGTGTGGGTATATATATATATGCATATATGTACATTTGTATGTATATATGCTAGTATTTATAATCAACCTTTTTTTTTTGGTGATGGATTGAAGTCAAGACCTCAACTCTAAGCTCCAGCTCTCCAGTAATCAACTTGTTTCCTGATAATTGGGTGGTAGACATTAATATATATGTACAAATGGTATATACTACAAGCATGTATGTATACTTGTATGTGCTATGCTTACGTAGAAGTATATACATAATTATATATAACTGTATATACACATATACATATCTGTATATACACTTATATGTATAAGTATTATACACATAAGCCATATAAATATATACTTATATAAAGTTGTATATATGAGAATAGTGCTTGTCAAATGCAATATAAACCAAAGTATTATTCAAATAAAATATTTCATGATGAAATTCTAGTGAATGAATTTAATAATGAATAATAATAATTTAATAATGAAGAAAATGCTAACATATATTATACACAAAATATTAATTGCCTTAAAAGTATAAAAGAGCACCCTTTAAGTTTTGTGGGGTTCAAGGGTTAAAGGTCCATAGTTCCCCATCATTGGAAAAGTATCAGGATTCCAAAGTCAAAAGATATGATTTCGGTATTTATATTGTTTTAAAACTTACTGTATTCCTTTGGCCAGGACTTGGCTACATGCATGTACAAACTTTGTAAAGATATATAAACTGAACACAAGATGTGTGAAGCATTCTGTCTGAAAATAATACATAAAATTATATGGTATGATTAAATGTAGAGCTTTTCCCTGAAAAGCTCTACATTTTTGAAAACCATTCAAAAATATACCCAGAAAGGAAAAATCTTAATATTTGCATCTGTACATCACAGATGATAAAATGGAGTGGGACTTTTTAAAGACAAAAGAAGACTATCAAGTCTTTTTTTTTTAACCAAAGTATTTTTGGAGTGCTGCATATGTTGATTGTTCTCCAAATTCACATACAATTACAATGCTAAAGTCAAATTAATTCAGGGTTCCTAATAGTACTGTTTTAACTGTTGAACCTATACTTTAAAACATGGTTCAAGCCTACACCTGGTAACACCTCACCTTCCACACTTCAAATAGTGGTATGATAACAGCCCTGCATAGCTTCAAAGCTATAAAAGTTTATACGCCTCGTGATGGCGGCAGACCTTTAATCCCAACACTCAGGAGGTAGAGGCAGGAGGATCTTTGTGCATTCAAGGCCAGCCTGGTTCACAGAGCGAGTTTTAGGATAGCCAGGGCTACACAGAGAAAAACAAATAACAAACAAGTTTATATCCATGTATTGAACTACTGCTCCCAGCAAAAGACAAAGATGATCTCAGCCAAGAAGAGAGACCTCCAGCAGCAGATGGAGCAGGCACAACGGGGCGGGCAGGCAGGCCCGGGCCAAGAGGAGCTGCGGAAGCTGGAGAGCACCCTGACGGGACTGGAGCAGACCAGGGAGAGGCAGGAACGACGCATCCAGGTAAGGCCAGGCTGCCCGAAGCTTCCGAAGGTGGGGCTTTTGCACGCGTAGATGCTTTATCCTAGTTGCTTTTCTCACTGTTGTAACCAGATACCTGGCAAGAAGCAGTTTAAGGGTAGAAGGGCTTCTTCTGCCTTACAATTCGGCCGCTCTGTTGCAACCAGTCAGTGAACAGGAAGCGAGGACTGTGTATCAAACCTCCAGGCCCGCCCATAGTGTTCCACTTCCGCCAGCAGGGCTCTACCTCCTAAAGTTGCCACAGCTCTCCCAGTCAACCCCATCATCGGCTTCGGACCAAGTACTCAAAAATGTGAGCCAGATAGGAAACATTTCACGTTCAAATCACAGCAGTGTTTAAGAGAGTTTAATGACTTTTCCCCAAGTTGCACGCAATTCAGTGATGGAACCAGGATGCGATGTACGCTTGTCTGGATCCATGAACTTGCTCAAATTGTTTCTCATATCCAGGAAGTCCAGCAGCCACACCTTAGCTCCCCCACCCCCACCCCGTGCTTGAGAGTGCTGTTGACCTACCGTCCTAGGAATGATTTGGAGTTTTTGCTACTTAGCACTCTTGTTCTCCTCTCTAGTCTTCCCTCTTGCCACCCTACCTTTTCTTGACAATGATTGCCACTTATCTACATTTTGTAAGTGCATCTGTAGGAGGTGCTGGGGAAGTCATACGACCTCTGAAGCCCCAGACATCGGAAAGCAATGCTATCAAAGACGACAGGGTCGTCTTTTGTCAACGTTGTTGTGTGATGTCACACTTGCCACAAGCTGTCAGCCTAGGAAACGAGTGAGAAGGCTCCAGTGTGGAGGGATTCAGTCGGGGCATTTGTATGTCACAGGGTGTGTTGTTTATTTTTAATTTAGGTCAGCTTGAGGAAGTGGGAACGGTTTGAGACAAACAAGGAGACGGTGGTCAGGTACCTTTTCCAGACAGGGTCCAGCCATGAACGCTTCCTGAGCTTCAGCAGTTTGGAAAGCCTGTCTTCAGAGCTGGAGCAGACAAAGGTATGTGAAGGCCAGGGGGCGCCTCCCAACTCCTTCAGAAAACCCCTTTTCTCCACTGTCCTAACTGATGATCGGTACACGTTTAAGCAGTTCCTACTATTTATTGGTGACCGACACTTCAGAACACAGTGAAACATGGGCATAAGAAGGATTTACACCTAAGAACTAAGATTTTCATAAAGATGGGAAAGTGTCAGTTCCCCAACAGAGGTGTGTATAAACTGCGGGATTTCTGGAGGGAGTGATGTTTACTACTTGGTGAAGTAAGACTGCAGAGAACAGAGTTCGGGAGACAGACAGTTGTCCTGGAAAGAGGAACGCCATCAGGTGTGAAAGGGCTAGACATTATGACTGTGTACTGTAGTTCAAGATACGAGGATGTAGCCCGGGAAGCTGGGCAGTGGTGCCAACAGTGAAACCTCAGATGTTACTCTCCTAGCAGCTGGAGCTGGGTTATCGGAGAGTTCCTTAGAAGGTCACACAACCAGGGCCTTGCCTCAAGCCATGAATGTCTAGACAGATATAGAAATCAGCTTGAAACGGTGAGAGACTGTCACACAGCACGTGGAATCTACACTCATGGCTGCCTTTGGCCTTCTTGCTCGCTTTACACTGCTTTATGTTCTTATTCTATTCAACACCCTTGAGTGGTTGCGCTAAGGGCATCGGCGTCTTCCTTGTGCCGGTTTGTGATATGTTCACATGGCAAGGGCGAGCTAAATTTCACAGGAGCCATGGCCTGGCACGGAAGTGAATGTTCGGAGAGACTGAAGGTTGCTCAGTCAGCGAAGAGCAGAGCCTGGTTTCGGCTGTAGACCTACCTGACGAGAACCAGGTCTCTCCTGATGTGTCCATGGCCATTCATACAGCACATTCTCTCGGCTAGGTGACACAACACCTTATAGCCTTACAAAGTCGTTCTATTTTTGTTTAATTTTCTTTTACCAACTCTTACCTGTTTCTTTGAAGCCCTCTGCATTGCAATTTACTGTAAATGGTTAAGGCAAAACATTATATACATACATGCATACATACACACATATCCACATATCCACACACAGACACATTTTCCAACATTGCCTTCTCCACAGCTCTGAAAAAGATGGTGTCGTAGCAACACTTAATTGACACTTCTGTTTGTGTTCACGGAATCTGAGGGATTAGCAACAATGAGTTTCATCGTCTTCATAAATGGACCAGCAACTCTTTGGAGCTCACAGGCATCTGCCAGCATCATGCTCTGGGGTACTATGCACCCCTGCACCACAAGGACACACTGTCTGGTTTTATTTGAACCACAGGTGGCTTCTCTGCAGTAATAGCGAAACTTACGTGACACTATTTAGTCTTTCAGACAGGAAGCAATAATGATTCTGTGTTGTGACTTTATCTTTTATGGTATTACAATGACTTTCAAAATGATTTTTGGAACCACCGTCTGACATGGTATTGTAGAATAATTTGGGGAAGCGCTTGGAGTGGCAGGCTGTCTTTTACAAATATTTACATGGCAGTTTTGCACTGCCTATTTAGAAGGGGAAGCTGATGAATATTTAAACCTCTTGTCAGATTTTCTTGCATAAGAAGAAATAAGACATTTTTTTTTACTTGAGGTTATCACCAAGGTTTAGCTTTTCTAATTTAATATTCAACATTATTCACCTGACAAAATTTAGCTAGCACCTAGAACATAGCAGAGCCTCATACAAATTAAAACTTTTGAATTATAAAAGCTCCGAGTTGCAGAAAATCAGCAGGTGGAGTAAACCAGTTTTTGTCCATATGAAAGATGTAAAAATGATAATTGGTACCTGCCAGTATATGCCACTTAAAAATGAATCTTTTGGTGGAGATAAGTTCCCCTTGCAGGAAAATATGATCTGTGCATTTCACACTCACACAAAAGAGCCTGGAAAGTAATTCACCAATGTGGGGAAACAGTGGTTCAGAGTCATCCTACAGGCAGGCTTGACTTGTTGAAAATGCAGCTTTCCTAGGACTAGGCCTGCAGATCAAAAGGAAGAGTGTCCTCCCAGCACACAGGAAGGCCTGGGCTAGAGTCGCCTGGGTAAACCTGGCATACTGCTGTATAACCACAGGCTCAAGGGCCCAAGAGCAAGTTTGTGACCTGCTTGGCTTACATGAGCTTCTGTCTCAGTCACAATCCACAAGCCCTGAGCTTCTTTCCATCATGTTATGTCTACATATACATAAAGAAGATTCTGAAACATTATTAGCAGCAGATAATACGTCTCAGGGGACCAATAACTTCTCTTCCTGCAGAGAAAATGTATAAGAAAATCCCTGCTGTTCTGTGCTGGATAAGCTCTCAGTCTATTAGGCAAACAAATGAATTTGTTGGCCCAGAGATCTACCGTTCAGATGTTTAAAGGATCAATAACTCTGGGTTATTTTGTGAACGGACTGGTAGTAAATGAACATATCTGAGGGTAAGTTGATGACTATATGTATCTCAGAATTCAGAATGATAAGCCCAAATCAGGAAAGTGTGCAAAAACCATCCTCCAAGCGCTAGTGGAAATGTTTTAACCAAACCATCTAGGTTAGCCCGCTGAGTGTGAATCTGTCTTACCATTAAGAGCAGTATATGGTCTGTCCTGCGGAATTTGCATTTGACTTGGGTGCAGCATCCAAGAGTTTAAAATGCTCACCTAACAGCTCTGCCATCTTTGCTCCCCATCCCCCAGGAGTTTTCTAAGCGGACAGAAAGTATTGCTAACCAGGCTGAGAACCTAGTCAAGGAAGCCTCTGAGATGCCACTGGGGCCCAGGAATAAGCACCTGCTCCAGCAGCAGGCCAGGTCGATCAAGGAGCAGGTGAAGAAGCTGGAAGCCACGCTCGAAGAAGAGTATGTGCCTCGCAACCTCTAAACTTCCCTCTCTGGGATAGACTCCCAAGCAGTGTCTCCTGTGTCTTCTATTCCAATCTTTCAAAACTCTCAAGGTGTCTGTCTATCTGTTTCAAGCTGTTTTAAGGAAGCACCTCACAGTTCAAAAGAAAATTATCCTTAGCCCAGGAACTGGTATTCATAATGGCGGGAGTATACAAGGAAGGTGCTGTTGGCATCTTGAGCTAGTATATTCATCACTAAGCCATATCTATTCATTTCTGTGGCCTTCATAAAGTGCAGACGCAATCTCAAAAGTAACCCACATTTACCTGTTGTTTTTTTTACACTATCTTATTCTCGTGTCATGTGTTCGAAGGGGAAGTATCCTGATAGCATAGATTCTAGGCCAAAGCACAGATCGTGCAGAGTACATGTCTCAGACTCAAAGCCCATGTGTATGCTTGGTGCCTCTGTGTTCAAACTACCATGGTTCATATGCTCCTCCCATAAATTCCCTGGAAAACTCTATCTTGCTTTTCAACAGCTAATATTTATCTGAAAAGAAGAAATAATCTCGTGTCCCTGTGATAGCCTTCTATATAGCTTGAAGGAGATAAGCTTTTGATATCAGTCAATACTCTTTAAAATAATATCACCAACAATTTTATTTAGCAACACATTGAATACTAGTCTTTGATTCTCAGGAAACAGGACTGTACTCGCAAGAGGGATTTCAGGATGTGAAAGCCGTTTTTAGTACTCTTGGGGCCTTGCGTGGAACATTTTATATTTGCCTAAACTTTAAACATTGATCAATATTTTATTTGAAACTAATTCTGACTTCAACTTTTGACAACTTTATATTTGATATCCGCCACCAATCTATGTAAACAGTAAATCTAAGAATATATTAGAAAATAAGCTGCTTCTAAATGGAGCAGAATGTCCATGTGAAGCTAAATTTTATATATAAAAAAACTGAACTATAAGATAGATTGTGTTTGCATTTCTTACACTGTTAAGTGCATTAGGCATACACAGGGTACAGGTTTGAGACTGTAGCCCTTGAATTTGACAATCAATTGATGCCATTATTTGTTCTTGGCATCCAGTGCCTTTTGTAATCAGGTATATGTTTCCTTTACCCAAGGACAGCAGTTAGTTTAGTGCTAATATGTTACCTTCCTAGTTTCTTTCTAAACTGAAAGCCATGTTCACCTGATTATCTATCCAGAGCTCATACCAACTCAGATTCTCCAGTTGAAATCCTATTTATTAGACTTACAACAAAGAGACTCAACATTTTCTGCAAATGGTTAGGGAACTCACAAACAAGAGTTATGAGAGTCTGTTGGAATGAGGCTGCCTACAAACCTCTGAGCATATTATTGGTTATAAACCAAAGGCTTTGCCAAGCTGAAGAGACCAGGTGCTGTCCAGCAGCCTGAGATTAGACCCCGGCTCTACCTTGATTCACAAATGTGTATATTATAATTTCAATAGAAAGTGTTCAGGAGTGCCCCTCCTTGAAAGCAAAGGCAATATATCAAACTATCAAACTCCCAAAGTTTTCTGGGAGAGTTCCCTGTTCTAAGTTCTGAAGATGGCTGCTCCTATGCAGAGCTGGCCCGTGCTGGCCCATGCCCTATGTTGCCAGGGCAATTGCATTAAAAATGCAGCCTCACTTGTATTATCTTTTCCAGGGCCCATTCCCAGAAGAGATATGGAGGTTTTGGTCAGATAGGCACTCAGCTCAGGCATGTGTGCTTTTCTGTTCAAATGGTTCCTGCTCTGAAAGACTTGTAAATGCCTTGCTATTCTTTATGGAGATACTGCATTTTAACTTAATTTGGTTAATTTTAGTATTAAAACCATGGAAATGGTGAAAACCAAGTGGGATCATTTTGGCAGTAATTTTGAGACCCTGTCCATCTGGATAACTGAGAAAGAGAACGAACTCAATGCCTTGGAAACATCAGCGTCTGCCATGGACGTGCAGATCAGCCAAATTAAGGTGACCTGCACACACTTCGCTCACTCTCTCTTCTTTAATACCTTTCCTACATTTCTATCACCAAAAGCTATTGGATCCCAGGATCTTCTGTTGTGCTGTAGCTCTTTTAAGTTAAAATCAAGCCAAGCTAGAGGTCATGATTGATAATACTTTATAGATGAAACTGTGTACTGATACTGTCTGACCTACAGATTCAAAGTCAATATTGTGTGCAATATCATTAAACTATTTTTTATGGTTGCATTATTCTTTTCCTTGATTTGGTTTGATGCCCATGGAGTTCCCTGTTTCTATATTTATACATCATGAAATATATTCATCATCTACCATCCCAAATGTCAGACTCAATGTTAGCCATGTTAACCAAGTGTGGTGGCACATGTTTCCAATCCCAGAAATCACAAGGTAAAGGGGGGGGGGGTTGCCACAAGTTCAAGCTCAGCCTGCTCTACACAGGCAGTTCCAGGCCCCACTGGGATACCCAGTGAGACATTGTTACCAAAAGCAGAAATGCATTAGTGACACTTAAGCACTTAACCAGAAAGGAGAGCTAGACACCCCCACACACACACACCAATCCTCCAGCCCCAAGGAGAAAGCCTTTACACCTGGTTGCTTTGGTCTTTTCATTTAGGATCTTCTTCCTGCCTGGACAGAGTGTTCTTGACGCATTGGCTTCCCTACTGCCAAAAGAGCTAGGTGTACAGGTTATTGCCGACATTCCAGTAGAGCAGTTAAATATAGAGGCTGAAGGAATTAAGATTGGACTAATCACCATTCTCTCAATAGACGCGAGCGCGCGCACATACACACACACACACACACACACACACACACACACACACACATTCTTTAAGAATTTTCCACATGTGTACAATGTATTTTGATCATACCTGCCACTAGTCTCCTTTCTAACTCCTCCCAGAATCCCTACCATGTCCTCCTTCCCAACTTTATTTCCCTTTTTAAATATGCACTCTGTTTTATGTACTGTCGTGCCTCACGGCATGACAGATTCAGCCGTGGCCTTCTGCTAGCTCTGTTGTTTTTTTTTTGTTTGTTTGTTTTTTGGTTTTTTTTGTTTTTTAAAGTGGAAAACCTCTTTGCCATTGTATTCTATTAAATATGACATAATAAATAAAATAAATGCCAAGGTGAGGACACATTTACTCGGTGACTCAGAGTAAGTGGCGGCCGTGTGCGTGGTGGGAGGGGAAATGTTACTCCTCACTGCTGCTCTTGCTCCTCAGGTATGCAGGAGAACTGGAGACCCATATATTGTGGCAGAGGTGGCCTGCTGTCTTCTGTCCTGTCCAGGGAAACAGCTGCCAAGACCTAAAATAAAATTCACAAGTATTGTAACTCTTCAATAAAAAGTTGTCATCTAAATCACTTTCACTGAAATCTAAGAAAAAGAAAATGCCACATGTCAATTCTTTGGTCTCAAGATTTCTCCTTTCGTGAATTAACAAACACTTTATGGCCTACTTGATTCATTCAGTAATTCATTTACTGTAATATTTCATCTTATATCAGCATTTCTGAATTATAAAACTGATTAAATGTCATCCTATCTCTCAGAAAAATTAGAAATATTTTATTATTAAATATATAAATAGTCTCACCATCTTCTTACCATCAAACTGGAAATACATATTGACACATCAAAAATGGCACTTCAGAAATTATCTGAAATACATTAAATAGCTATGAATGTCAAAAAGAGATATTTTTTAAGAGAACCAACAAGAGAGTGGAATCCATTAGACTTTGATCCAGAAGGCTCATGATCTAATTCCAAACTGATGGTTTGAGTAGTTACACTATTCAGAAAGAATAAAAATACATATCCTTTTCGCCTTAAATCAACCTTACAGTTATAATTAATGGAGCATTTCCATGTCTATAAAGACAATTAAGCTCATCCTTGTTCATCATTACATGACTTTCCGAGTCAACACTGATAAATAGCAACAACATAGTCTTGGCTCACCTTCCATCCTCATTCTGATAGAATATTTTTTTCTTCTTACCATAACCTCAAGATCTAACTGGATGGCTGCTCATGAATTTGTTGATGACATGAGTGGGTCTGAGAACTCATAATTTTGTTCTTAGTTAAGATTCTTTACATTATGTACTGTGATTATGTATAAAAATTATTAACACATATTAAATAATATACATTTTGAACTTCAGAGTATTTTTCCCTCAAAAAAGTATTTGGTAAATCAGAAAAAGGAGCACAGCCTCTATTTATGCTCAGATAGCAGATGTCTGGTAGGTCCTCTGCTGCAGCCGTGCCTGTAAAAAGATGAAAATGAAAAGGCCATGCCAAGTAGATTTTAGAATGACACAAGCTATTTGTCTCATCTGGACAGAAGTCACAAATTTGTTTTTCCTGGGGACCAGCATTTGACACAGCTAAAACTTCACATAACATTTTTACATCATTTTGTCTGATCGCACCCATCCTTAGAAAAATGATTTTCATCTTATGTTTACGAGACCCCGCCCCTTCCCACACGGCTGCGCACACACATGCTCACTGACCCTAAGTAGCTCTCAGTTCTTTCCCTGCGTTGGCTGATACTATATAAAGTATTTTTTCTATCCCAAATTAAGTGGCTGATATGTACACATTATTTTCCTGTAGAGTGCCAAGCCGGTGAGGAGAACAGTGAAGTCCCAGATCCTATGAGCATCTGTCAGATATTAAAATTCTTAAACCAGGTGTGTCTGGTTCCTAATGATGGAGGCTGAGTGTGCTGAGGATTGGTACAGTGGGAAACCACTGGCCTAGGAAACAAACAATACATTGCCAAAGGCTGTGTTCAAATGTGGGCGCAAAGGGTTTAGTAAATATAGCACACTCAGTTACACTGGGAAAAATCAAATACATGCAAATGTAACTCTTTAGTGAGTTCCTAGAACACACAGCTTCTCCAGATCAGCTGAGATATTTGATTGATGAGGAGAGCACACATTCCTCTGTCTTCAGAGGCCCTGTGAGAGCCCAGGGATACCTTCTTGCTTATTTCAACACAAGAAGTAGCCATCTCTCAGTTTTCACCCAATGCAACCACCATTGCTATGAACTTTCTGTGTGTTTCTATGCATCTGTTCCCTCCAAGTGGGGTCAGGAAGCAGGTGGTATCTGTTTGCAGCTGCTTTCGACCAGCTAGAATACACTTAGATATCAGTTAAGCAAACCATCCCCACAGTCTCTGCTGCTGGGTCTGTCACTTTGTGAAGGCGGGCCTGCTCTGCCCACATTGACGGTTTTTTTTCTTGTTTTAAATATTAGGCCGCAATTCAAGAAATAGAAAATAAAAGTGACAGCATTGTAGGGCTAGAAGAAGAAGCCCAGTCCTTTGCCCAGTTCATCACCACCGGAGAGTCTGCGCGCATCAAAGCCAAGCTGACACAAATAAGGAGGTACTGGGAGGAGATCCAAGAGCACGCGCGGGGCCTGGAAGGGACAGTCCTGGGGCGCGTGTCACAGCAGCGAAAGTTTGAAGAGAATCTGAGAGAGGTGAGAACTGGCCACACACACACTGAAGTTATGTCTTGTAGTATATAGAAATGCAGTGGACACTGCAGAGAGGCGGAATAAAGAGAGACCACACCATAAGTGGTTACTAGCTAAGTTCAGCGCTATCTATGCAGCACCTCTGGGAAGAGATTTACAAACGTCATTGTACGTTGTGTTAAGGTTAAGTCGTAATGCTTTTTCTTTCAAATAAGATACACTGATTTTTAGATTTCATCGATGCATGATTTTAGATTTAGATAAAATCATCCCCAACAGAAAAGTCACAGTGTTCTCAATAACCTCCTCTGCCTTGTCATGTGTCTTAAATTATTTTTATGTCCCACCATTTTTTTTTTTTTTTTTAGATCCGGCAATCTGTGTCTGAATTTGCAGAGAGGCTGGCTGATCCAATTAAAATATGCTGCTCAGCTGCAGAGACATACAAAGTTCTCCAAGAGCATATGGTAAGAGTGTACTGCCACACTTTTTCATATTTATCCACTCAAAAAATTGGTTACGCCTACTTGAAAGGCAAACAGTAAATATTGCAAGAGTTAAATTTGGAAATATTGTATGTTAGTTGAGAAATTAAATGGTTCAAAAATCACCGTTTCTTGTTATAAGACACTCAAGTATGCAAATGAGTCTCCTTTAATATATATAGGTGTGTGTGAGTTTCCATATATATATGTGTATGTATATGTATAAATATATATATATAGTCTATATTTACTGGGATGGGGGAGATGGGTCAGTTGATAAAGCACTTGTACATAAGTACCTATTGGATCTCAAACACCAACAGAACATCAGGGTAGGTGTGATGGCCTCCTGTAACACTTAAGATGTAGAGACACGACCACAGGGGCAAGCTGGCCAGCTAGACTAATTATAACTGATAGTTCCAGGTTCAGAAGAATGTCTGCCTCAGTGAACAAAGTGGAGAGTGATTGAGAAAAACAACCAACCTCAAGTTTGAGTTTCCACATGTGTACATATACGCGGTCACACAGGCAAACATACACTTTCATATCACAAATACACACACCACAGAGATACATTACATATAAATGTGTCGATATGCGTCTATATACATATTTCTTTTCTCATCATGATATACTATGTTTTCAGATTAGCTCTTTAATAAATCCCCTTTCCTTTCACCACCTTTAAATGTGCAAGAAAAATAACGTGTAGAGCAGATGTTAGACACTAACTGACAGCCACGTTTAGATGAGAGGGAATCTGTCCCTCTAACAGACCTCTGAGAACCGGCTTTTGACCTGGCTACTTAACTCCTGATCACTCCTTGTCTTCAGCAAGACAACTGACAGCCTTGGGAGACTACATAGAAAGGTGCAAAAGTAGAGAATCGCACACAAAGACGCACTGACAGCAAATATGTTGACTGATAAGAAAACAACACACACTGTCCCTGCTCTATGAGCATACCTGTACACATGCCTTTCTGTTTTTTCACTTATTTATTCATTACAATTTATTCACTTTGTATCCCAGCTGAAGCCACCTCCCTTGTCTTCTCCCAATCCCATCCTCCCTCATTTCCTCTCATGTCCCTCCCCCAGTCCACTGTTAGGGGAGGTCCTCTTCCCCTTCCCTCTGACCCTACCCTATAAGGTCTCATCAGTACTGGCTGCATTGTCTTCCTCTGTGGCCTGGTAAGGCTGCTTCTCCATCAGGGGGGAGGTGATCAAAGAGCAGGCCACTGAGTTCATGTCAGAAACAGCCCCTGTTCCTATTACTGGGGAACCCTCTTGGACACTGAGCTGTCATGGGCTACATCTGTGCGGGGGTTCTAGGTTATCTCCATGAATGGTCCTTGGTTGGAGTATCAGTCTCAGGAAAGACCCCTGTCCTCAGATATTTTGGTTCTGTTGCTCAACTTGTGGAACTCCTGCCCCTTCCAGTCTTTCTATGTCCCCCTTCTTTCATATGATTCCCTACACTCTACCCAAAGTTTGGCTATGAGTCTCAGCATCTGCTTTAATACCCTGCTGGGTAGTCTTTCTGTGGTAAGCTCCTGTCCTGTTCCCTGTTTTCTCGCTCTTTCATCCCGTTTGCCTTTCTGAATGATGATTGAGCATCTTACCCAGGGTCCTCCTTCTTGCTTAGCTTTCTTATGTGTATAGATTTTAGTATGTTTATCCTCTATTTTATGTCTAATATCTACTATGAGTGAGTATATACCATGTGTGTCTTTCTGCTTCTGGGATACTTCACTCAGGATGAAACAAAAGCTTCTCTAAAGCAAAGAACACTGTCATCAGAACAAAACAACAGCCTACAGATTGGGAAAAGATCTTCACCAACCCTGTATCTGACAGAGGGCTAATATCCAGAATATATAAAGAACTCAAGAAGTTCTCAACTCAACAAATCAAGTTATCCAATCTAAACAGAGAATTCTCAATAGAGGAATATCAAATGGCAGAGAAACACTTGAAATGCTCAACATCCTTAGCCATCAGGGAAATGCAAATCAAAATGACCCTGAGATTTCACCTTACACCCATCAGAATAGCTAGGTTCAAAAAACTTAAGTGACAACACATGCTGGAGAGGTTGTAGAGAAAGGGGAACCCTCCTCCATTGCTGGTGGGAATGTAAACTTGTACAACCACTTTGGAAATCAATCTGGTGATTTCTCAGATAATTAGGAATAGTGCTACCTCAAGATCCAGCTATCCCACTCCTAGGCATATATACAAAGTATGCTCAAGTATACACCAAGGATATTTGCTCAACCATGTTCATAGCAGCTTTATTTGTAATAGCCAGAACCTGGAAACAACCCAGCTGTCCCTCAGTTGAGGAATGGATACAGAAATTGTGGAACATTTACATAATGGAATACTACTCAGTAATTAAAAACAAGTAAATCACGAAATTTGCAGGCAAATGGTGGGACCTGGAAAACACACATGCCTTTCTTACAGAAGAAGGGAGCTGCAGGAGCAGAAAACAAATATTAACAAATGCACATCTGGAAAGAGTGGTGGGAGCTTGATTGCTCAAACCTGTTCAGCAAGAGAGCTTTTGTCATTTACATATGTTAATACGAAAGAGAGGGAAATAGGAAAACCCAGTTTGATGAAGTTAGTTTAACACTCAACTAAAGTTAGAATTGGGAAAAGATAGCATTCTGGTTTTTTTTTTTTTTTTTTTTTTCCAGTATTTAGGTTTTTAAAAGTAAAGATTGAGAAACAAGTCATTTTTCTTTCTTGAGTTTCTGATGTGCAAAATAAATAAATAAATAAAATTTAAAATGTCTCTGGATTTTTATGAAGATTAATTTTTAAAGGTTTATTTTTTAATTATGCATATTTGTGTATGGGGAAGTTTTGCACATGAGTGCCGTGCCAGCGGAGATCAGAGCAGGTACGAGGGTCCCCTCGAACTGTGAGCTGCCCACGGTGGTGCTAAGATCTGAACTTGGATTCTCTAGAAGAGCGTCCCGGGCCCTTAACTGCTGAGCCATCTCCCCAGCCACAAAGATTAAACTAACACACGTGATGCACATGACATAACCTCTGTTCTCTTCTGAGCTCTTTTATCACCACACCACCGTCATCACCCCTGGTGCCAAAAACCACATTTACGAATCTTTGGATATGTTTCTGTAGATATAGTAGCACCTTAGTGTGGTTTTTGTAAGGGAAGAATAGGACTTTAAAGTTTCATATAGTCATCATATAATGAATAGTAATTTTAACAAATGACCTAACTTTGAGGTTGTTTATGTGTCCAGCCTCATATGCTTTTTTTTATGCATGACCAAGAAGACATGATCTTGCTCTGAACACACCTGTTATGACTTCTTAAAAAATTTAAAATGGCATTTACGTTTTTCTTACCAGGGATGATGTGGAGGTCAGAGGACAACGTTTAGAAATCACATTTCTCTTTTTCCCACTGCACTATCTCACAGGTCCTAGCCTTCTTCTTCTTTTTTTTTTCTTTTTCCTTTTTGTCTTTTCTGAGACAGGGCTTTCCTGTGTAGCCTTGACTGTTCTGGACTTACTTTGTAGACGAGACTGGCCTCAAACTCATAGAAATGCAACTGCCTCTGCTTCCCTCTGTGCCAACACGCCCGGCCCTAGCCTTACGTTCTTGACTAGAGATAGTCTAGCTCCTTTTCTATTTCTGCATCTCTGAAGCAACTTTCTCTTCACGTTGCTTGCTGCCATTCATGGTAGGACTCTCTTCAGTACCATGTACCGTTAAGGCTGAAGAAAAATCCTTTTGTCAGGATGGGTCTCACTGAAAAATGGGCCTTGCTGTTGTTGCTGTACTGCTGTTGTCATCCAGCTGACTGTCTTGGCCACAGTCTTCTGTGTTTTCAGTTACCTGAGGTCAAACACAGGTTAAAGACACTAAATGGAAAATTCTAGAAGCAAGTAGCTCACACATTTCAAATAATGTTCATTAGTATAGAAAAGGGCCTGACAGAATGAGTGCATGTTACGAAGGGAACGGACAAGGCTGACTTACATGATACACACCGGGTAGGCCGGCATGGCTGTCTGCTGGAGTGGCTGAGAACCTGACAATGCTTAGTCTACAGACGATGTGTAGTTCCAGTCAGGCACTGAAGGTCTAGGGGATTCCTGGAGAGCCACTGTCTTCCTTACTGGAGGACCGAAGGCGGCAGCAACAGGAGTATCAGCAACAGAGTAGGTTTCCTCCCCAGCAAAGGAGGAAGGTGGAAAGGTGAAATGTACCAACTTTTCCCTCAGATTTCCTCACATCAGGAGAGCTCGTGGAGAGTTACTCCTCCCAGGAAACAGTCTTATACCCACCCACAGGCATGTCTCTCAGCTGATTCCAGATCCCATCAAGTTGAGAAGCAGAACCATCACGATTGCAGGGTGTCCTTACGATTGCCCTGTTTTAGTGAATGTTGTTAGTCACTGGCTGTTCTTGGCCTGTACATTGAACTTGACACGAGCATAGAGAAAACATCCTGTGCATGGGTGGGTACCTGCATTTACAGGTACTACAAATCCCTTCAGCCCACACCTTCTGTGAAGTAGGAAGCTCCTGTGTTCCCTGTGCTCCCTCCTAGGATCTCTGTCAAGGTCTGGAGTCCCTGAAGAGCACGGTCACCACTTTTGCAGCCGGCGCCCAGAAAATGGTGAACGGAGAGTCCTGCACCCAGGAGGCCACAGCCCTCCAGCAGCAGTATGAGGAGATTCTACACAAAGCCAAAGAGAGACTGAAGGCGCTGGAGGACCTGCTGGCTCACTGGCAGAGGTACGCATACAGATGAGCCGTTCTCTAAGTCAGCCGTTCTCAACCCTCCTAACGCCACTGTCCTTTAACACAGCTCCTCATGTTGTGGTGACCCTAACCATACAAGTATTTTTGTTGCTACTTCATAACTGTAATTTTGCTACTGTTATGATTCATAATGTAAATACTTTTGGAGATAGAGTTTTGCTAAAGGGATTGTGGCCCATAGGCTGAGAACCACTGTGCTAAGCGGTGGGAAATAATAACCCTGGATGTATGATGAGTAAATTTGGGTCTACGATGAGGTATTCACTGAGTCACCGGCCTGAGCATATAGAGGAAGCATATGTGTCTTTACATAGATATGAGCAGTATGTGAGAACAGACATGAAGATCAATGGAGTCCATCACTTTAATGTGCAGAAATAGCACAGGAAGTGTGCATCATTTGGAACAGTTCGTGTTGGCACTGCCAACCTGGAGAGAGTTTGTCTTCTATTGTAATCATCTTGGGTGAAGGCAAATGTGTTGTTTTTTTTTCCTCTTTCTTTAGGTTAGAGAAGGGACTGTCACCCTTTCTGACCTGGTTAGAGCGATGTGAAGCCGTAGCCAGTTCTCCAGAAAAGAACATTTCTGCAGACAGAGTCAAAGTAGAAAGTGAACTGCAGTTAATACAGGCAAGTTCAAGGAGGGTGAAGACAGAAATGGTGGTGTGTGGTTGTCCTGTGAAGTTAATTAATTAAATTAAATGTCTAAGTCCCTTAATTATTTAACCATCCTAAAAGTATCATTTGACATCAAGACGTGCTGAAACAAAGAGGGCGCTCCTGAGTAACCGAGGACACTGTGGTGACCTGTGTCCCTGGTGTCATCAAAAGTCCTGGACCACGATATGCAGTCTTTGAATAGAACTGGCTTTCTAGGAAGAGAGTAGGGAGAGACGGCGATGTACAGATAACGTGAGGTTGGTGCTCTACTTTTAAACTTAAACGTTTCTATTAAACAAAGGTGTTTTTGTAAGAAAGAATAGACTGTAGGAAGAAATCAAGAGTGATTGCTATAATCAAGAAAGACGGGGGAATTAGGAAGACAGAAAAACAATATAGCTTAAAATATCCTTGAGGAGCCAATTTTCTAAACTTAAATTAGGAAAAAAAAAACACTTTTGTTTTGGAAGCTGCAGACAATATTGCTGATTTAGGGATATTAATAACGTGTTTGAAGAATGCTATCTGTGCCAGAAAAGTCAGCAGGCAAAACTGCTTCTGAAAAGAGATTTATTGTATGATAGATTCGTAGCTCAACTTCCCTCACTGGCCCTCGGGGTAACTAGAAAAAGAAGTGGGGGCCTGCTAGTTTTATAGTCATCCTAAAACTCCACCCGAGAGACCATTAGCATCCCACCCCACTTCCCACTTTCTGCCTTTTCTCTGCTTGACTTTAGAAGGATGCCATGCCGCTAGCCCGTTCCCTCTCTAGCTTGTGAAGCTTGAGTGTTCTTCGTCTTCTCTAAAGGCACTTTCCAGAAAGCCCGGGACAGTCCTAAGGATGAGGAGGCTCACAGCTCAGTCCAGTCCTTTTACATGTGTGGGCGGTGGCTCTGGAAGTAGGGCCACAGATCTCACTCTGTTTATCCCACTGTTAATCCTTCCATTCGTTTAGTGACGCAAAGAATATTGACTGGGTGCTTGCTGCGAGCCAGGAGCCACACCAGATCCTGACACTGTAAAAATGAGCAAGTGCTGCACAGTGAGAGGACTAAGACAGGCCACAGGCCTCTGTCAGGGGATCTGAACGCTGCAGTGACAGCCAGGTCTCCTCTCCACCGTGGCCTGACAAAAACCTGCATAAGCTGCCCCTGCAGTTTTGTCTGCATCCTGCATGGGGCCTCCAGGAAGCACAGGAAGCATCTTGATGGGTGTTTACTCGTGCTGTGTCATTTCACCTGTGACCGTTTTGGTTTTCACCTGCTGTCATCCTTGTTTCCTCTGGTTAACAAGAGCCAAAGGTTTTGCATGGCCTCAGAGCCCCCAAGAAGTTCACTGCCTAATTAATCAAAAGTAAAAATAAAGCAGATGTAGTTCATGGAAATAAAAGGAATAGCCCTTAGGAAACACAGCAGTTCCGTATTCCCAGTTCCTGGAATGGCATATTGACTTATACTGAAAGCACAGTGATCTCTTCCACAATAGATTCCCGATACCCAGACACTGAAAATGATTACAGGCCTTACTAGCATTTTAAAATTGTGTTAATGGCGATTTAGAGCCAATGAGAAACCGAGTGACAAGAACTTTCTGTGCTCTTTTTCACAAGAATGCAAAGCCAGCCTTGAGCAGTCCTCAGGACCAGTCCTTTTAGAATGAGGTCTCCCTTGCATCCTATTTTTTAGGCTCTGCAAAATGAAGTTGTACAGACCTCATTGTACAGCAATGTCCTGCAGCTGAAGGAAGCTCTGTTCTCAGCAGCCTCCAAAGATGATGTGGCAACGATGAAGCTGCAGCTGGGACAACTGGACAAGCGCTGGAGAGACTTACCACAGACACTCAGCAAAAGGTTGGTTCTTCACAAAAGGGATTCTGGTAATGCTCTGTGTCTACAAGGGCAAACGGTGGGTTTTGTTTGATCCTATTTAACGTGGCTTTTCAAGGGATGATTATGGAAGAGATGAAAATGACTTTGTCTGTCATGTTTGAATCCAGGATGTCCTCAGACGTGACCAGGAAGTGGTATGGAAACAACAAAGAATTCTCTAATCCAGTATATCACATCTGGTTGTCAGCTTGAGTGTAGGCCATGGGGAGGTACGGAGGCAGCAAGGCTGCCAGTTCTAGAGACTGGGAAAAAGAGGAGGAGGCCTAGACAGGGAGAATTACCAATTTGCACATTGCTCTTGATGCTGGAGCAACAGGCACAGATCAGATATGGTGACTGTGACATGATTGGGAAGCCCAGAGGTAGGAAAGACAACCCATCCCAGTGGACAGCGGGTCACTGAGACCAGGAAAACACTTGAGAAAGACGGAGCTTAGGGATGTGAACGTACTCAGAGGCCAGGCTTCTCTGTGTATAGCTCTTTTACTTTGCTTTGGGAATGAGGGCCTTTCCCAAAGCTTAGCAGGAGCCATTCCGTTCCTAGCCGCCATTCAAAGCCTCTCTCCCCACAGGATGCGCTTTCTCCAGGCCGTGCTGGCTGAGCACAAGCAGTTTGATGAGCTGCTGTTTGCCTTCTCTGTCTGGATTAAGCAGTTTCTCGGTGAATTGCAAATGACCTCAGAGATAAATTTAAGGGACCACCAAGTGGCGCTTACTCGGCACAAGGTAAAGTGGATTCTCTCGAGGTGGAATATAGATACGGTCAGAACAGCGAATCCTTTGACTTTTGCTGATGTTCTCGGCTTGACCTGAGATCTGAGGCTGTGAAAGAATGGGGCAGATACAGTCTAATGCTGTAGAGACAACCTTACGCCAGTTTCAGTGTACTGTTATACACAAATGTAACAAAGAAAGCAATCATCCAGGTACGGGTGTTAGGGTTCAGAGAAGCGTGACCAGAAAAAACATGTAAATAAAGGTCAGTAAGCACACACTAAGTATTAGCAAAGCAGCCCTGTCCCAGAACCTTCTCAGGACAGACTAATTCAAACACAGTTATCTGTGTTTGAAGGCCATGTCCGGATTCAGGGTACACTGACCAGTTAGTTCTATAGCTATGATCTGACATCCACTGAGAATAAAACATTTCTTGTAAATTGAGTGTAAATGTTTGTCACAGGAGGCATGAAATCACATCCAAGAACAACCCAGGGAACAAAATGCAGCTGAGGAAGGGGCCCCCTGCCTTTTTTCCCTGGAGTGCCTCTCTCAGTTCCCCAAGCATTGCTGGCCACAGGTCATCCTCTTGATTGTCTTCCGACAAGAGTCTTTGAGTTCGAAGGACAGCACACTTAAATACATACATGACAATAATTTAGATTTTTTTATTTGCGTGAAAAGTGGCTTAATAACTGAACTTACGGATCCAGCAAATTCTTGGGCAGGTAAATTAAGCAGATGAAATTCACTTAAGGTAAAGCAGCAAAACAACAAACCCTGCAATTTGAAGCATAAAATGTTAAGGATTTCCTTTTTTGAGTTTTCCATTTTGTTTTGGTCCAAAACCAAAGACTTATACAAATTCCAGTGTTTTAAGGTTAACTTTTTTTTTTTTTCTGAATTAACTGCTCAGTGTGGAAGCGGCTCCAAATTCACGAATTACTAACATTCCCTTATTTGTAACCTACGAATAATAACTATTGTGGTACTGTTAAAATTCAAAATCAGGTGTTGACCAAGCATTGGAATGCTAGAGTTTCTGTGTAGAATCTACAGTGGGATAGTTTATTTTAAGCTGACTCTGTGCCCCCTCTGAAAAGGGGAAAGTAAACACCTAGCTTTCAGAAAGGAGACAGTTTCATAGCTTAGATCACTGGTTCTCAGCCTGTGGGTCACAACCCCTTTGAGAGATTGTATGACCCTTTCACAAGGGTTGCATATTAGATTTAAAAAATGCTGCATATCAGATATTAACATTATGATTCATAACAGCAGCAAAAATGCAGTTAGGAAGTAGAAATGAAAATAATTTTGTGGTTGGGGGCCACCACAACATGAGGAAGTACATTAAAGGGTGGCAGCATTAGGCAGGTTGAGGGGCCACCACAACATGAGGAAGTACATTAAAGGGTGGCAGCATTAGGCAGGTTGAGAACCACGCTCTTAGAGGAAGGTTGAAACCCTTCTGCACACCAAAAGACCATGAGGGAGCTGCTGCTTCTGAATAACCGCGTTCAAAGGGAAGGCTCTCGGGTGTTCAGCAACCAGAACCAAAGGCTTCCAAAAGACTGACATCTCAAAGGGGCAGAGAGAATGGATCTACCTGAACAGGCTTTCTACAAGAAAGTCTCGTAAGGACGAAGAGGGGGTCTGGAGCAAGAAGTGGTTTACTGGTCAGACTGGGGACTACCTAAACAATCACAGTCGCAGTCAAGATTAAAGCTGCTAATGCTCTCTCTATGGCGGGAGCCGTTCTAGAACTGATGACACTGCCCTGCTGGATTTTACCTGGAGTTTGTGGTGAGCTGGCCAAAAACCCACACAGTTGTCTCAGATAAAACACAGATCTGAAAATTAATTAAGTCAGAGTCGAGTGCTGTACCGAACACATGAGCAAAATGGGGAAGTTTACGAATGTTTCTGAAAGCTTCCCTATAAATAACTTCAAAATAGTTTTTATTTATATTTTAATTATGTATATATGTGAGTTTATACATGTGAATCCAGTTGTCCACTGAGGGCAGGAAGGGTCATTGGAGATGGAGTCACAGACAATTGTGAGCCCTCTGAGAGGTCATGAGTGAGCCATCTCTCCAGCATCTGTGGATGATCTCTAGATGCTAAGCTAACGGCTGAGGAAAGGGCTCAGTCAGTAAAATCCCATGCAAGCACAAGGGCCAGAGTTTGATCTCCAGCACTCAGGTAAAACATTCAGACATGTTTTATAATCCTATTTTCGGGGACGTAGTGGTAAGATTATCTAGGAAGCATGTTAGCCAGCCAATCTCACCAAGTTAAAGTCCATGAAAGGGAGAGCTATTGAGGGAGACAGTTCATGTTGACCTCCAGCCTCCACGTATATGCACACATGAATAAGTACAAATGCATACACACACGGGGATAATTGGATAAATGCATGCTGGGCTAGCCATTGCCCATACTGTCTACTTGAGATTGCAAATGTTGCTGTTTATCTGTAATAACTACGGCATGTTTCTCCCCCCCCCAGGACCACGCTGCAGAAGCAGAGAAGAAGAGGGGGGAAGTACAGAGCCTGCAAGGTCACTTAGCTAAGCTGCGGTCTCTTGGCAGAGCCGAGGACGTTCAACCACTCCAGAGCAAGGCTGATGACTGCTTCCGGCTCTTTGAGGAGGCCAGCCAGGTGGTGGAGAGGCGGAAGCTGGCTCTGATGAAGCTAGCAGATTTCCTACAGAGCCACTCCTCTGTGTCCACTCTTCTGCAGCAGCTCAGGCAAACAGTGGAAGCCGCCAAAAGCATGAATAAGCAGCAGTCTGACTCCCTGAAAAAAGGCCTTAATGATGCTATTCAAGATGTTAAGGCATTAGAATCCTGTGCCATCATTCTTGATGGCACCCTGACCAAAGCCCAGTTTCACTTGAGAAGTGGGAGCCCTGAGCAGAGGACCTCGTGCCGAGCCACCACCGACCAGCTCTCTTTAGAAGTGGAGAGGATCCAGAACCTTCTGGGAACCAAGCAGAGTGAGGCAGATGCCCTGGCAGTATTGAGAAAAGCGTTCCAGGGGCAGAAAGAAGAGCTGCTGAGAAGCATTGAAGACATCGAGGAGAGGGCTGACAAGGAGCGCTTGAAAGAACCCACCCGCGAGGCTCTGCAGCACAGGTCAGGGACCCGATAAATGTGACATTTGGGAATTGTTTAAAATGTCTTTGATTTCCTTAGGGTCCTTCCTAAGGACACTGTGCAGATACTCCCTTACCCACCTGAGAGTCCATATGTCCTGTTGTCTATTGCAAGCAATTTCTTACTATCAAGAATGTAGGCAGAAGGGCTGGAGAAACTGGAGAGATGGTGCAGCAGTTAGGACCACTTGCCAATCTTGAGGAGGACTAGGGGTTGGTTCCTAGCACCCACACAAAGCGGCACAACCACCCGTAACTCCAACTCCAGTTCCAGAGGATCTGACGCTCTCTTCTGGCCTCCCTGGGCACCAGACATGTACTTGTTACATATACATACATGCAAGTGCTTATACATACACAGAAAATTAAAAATCTTTAAAAACAACGCAGATCCATAGAAACCTGGGGTTCTGGTGATAAAGGAATCCGAAGGTTCTCCATGAAGAGGCAGGTCATTAGTGCTTCAGTAAGGACTGGAGCAAGCTCACTGGCCTAGGTCGATGACAAGGGGCAGACAGAGGAAATGGATGGACTGGTCCTCCCTGCAAAGAGGAGTTTGCAGAGAGTCAGGCAGCCATCTGAGGTCTGTGTTCATTCACATAAGGGGACGTCAGTGAGCTTGGCCAAATGGTTCTCAGCAGCAGTTGTAACTCCTTGCCTGGACGTGAGCAGGAGGCTGACAAGAGGCTTCCACTGACTCAGGGCTTTTTCAGTGAGAAGCAAAGGAGCCAGGAGCTGGTTCTTTTTAGTAAATTTGGAAGTGATTTTCATCTACTACTGTAGCCTACACTACAGCCATCTTTTACTTTATAAATAAAACCTTGTCCTATTGAGGAACTTGAGATCCTGGGCTTTGAAGGCAGAGAAACTCTGATATGCATTTACGCCTAGGTGCATGGCTGATGAGGATTATTGCCTCCACCAAGACCACTGTCATTCCGACTCTAATCAGAACCAGTCAGGAAGCCAAACAGGAATGCCGTTTACATCAGAACTCCAGAAGGCCCCTTATCATATCATATATCAGAGAAGTTTAACAATAAACTATCAAGAAGAAATAAGATTTGAGAAAGTAAAACTAACCTTCTCAGTAAAGAGAGGAACTGTGTCCTATAGCTCATCCAGGAAGCTACCAGCAGCACTCATGTGCAGGACAACATGATTCTCTGGCCAGCTCAGGCCAAGTTTGTGAGGGAATCCTCAAGCTGCTGGACATGAAGGCCTAAGCTGGGCTCAAGAGCTTTACCATCTTCTCTAATCCACTAAAAAGCATTTCTGGATGTGCCCAGTGTTGGCTGTATGGAAGCTGCCTGGTCCTGCTGTAAGCACGTCACACCCCCTTTGCAAGGTGTGGAGAAGGGAACGTGTTTCAGCCTCTTTGAGAATAGATGCTAGTACACGTTACACCCTACAGCACAGCACCAAAGGGTGGACGCATTTTAAAATCTATTTCATTTGAGTGCTTCTCTCTCTACCTCCCTTTCAACCCTTATTCCGTCCTAAACTCTTCCAACCCCTTACCCCCAATACCAGGTGAGAGAGATAGAAGGCTAGTGGGAAGAGGGGGTGCTGGACTCCTTAGACTACTTCCTGCTGATTAGGTTCACCAGGTTCCTTGGGAGCACTTTTGATCTTCCTGGACAGGATATCCAACTTCTTCTTCTTTGCATGCAACCTCATATCCCACACCTGAGATTAAGAGAAAAGCATAGATTAACTGGGTTAACATAACATAACTGGGTTTGTTTGTCTGTTTGTTTGTTTTTTAAGAAACCAAAATTCTCGCTACAGCAAAATGCATGGATAAGTCAGTGGCCTTCTGCATAGTCACATATTGTAGATTCACAAGTGCTTATATATTAGAGGACATAAAATCAGGATTGCCTTCTCACAATAATCTCTCATTAAGGGAATTTAAGCTTTAAAAGTAGATGTTTTTCATAAAGCTTTGGTAGAGCTCTTTTGATTTTAAATAAAACAATTGCGATGCTGAAGTATAATTACTATGATGACCTTTAAAAAAAAAGTATTCACCTACTTAGCCAATGAAGTTAGCCTTCTTTGAGAACTCTTCTACCATTAAAAAGAGGAAAAGATGAAAGTTCATTAAAAGGTTGAAAATAAATAGTGAGGATGATTTTCAATATTTTCTGAGATATAGTCATCTTACAAAACTATTTTGAAAGGCCTTGTTATCAGTTGAAATGCATTAGTTGCTGTGTTGAAAGGTTTGCTAGCTGTGTTAGTATGTGCTTTTTGAGCTCATGGAGTTAGAGAGAGAAAGTATCGGTTCGTGGCTTCACTAGATTGACACTGGTATTTAAATTTACAGGTTGAGAGTGTTCAACCAGCTAGAGGATGAGTTAAACGCCCATGAGCATGAGCTCTGTTGGCTGAAAGACAAAGCAAAACAAATTGCCCAGAAGGGTGTGGCTTTTGCACCTGAAGTGGATAAGGAGATACAGCGCTTAGAAGCTTCCTGGGATGATACTAAAAGACTAATTCATGAGAAGTAAGTCTGAGGCCTCTTGATTCTTTTGTCAACGTTTCCAGCTCATGTTGTGACACTTGAATTGCCTTCTGAAGATGTGATCAACAGCCAAATGGCTTTCATCACCCTGCATATTCTAGATCATGCTAATAACATTAAAACTTTAGTCTTTCAGAATCATGTTAACGTTGTTCTCTTAGTACAGCAAACACATATGAAATGAATATTTTTTAAAAATGTTGCCTAAAATCAACAGTTATCAACCGTTATAAGATGCTACAATTAGAATTTTAAACTTTACTTGTTTTGTTATATTACAATGTTATATTTTGATTTAGTTTCGTTTTAACTTTTCATTGTCTATTTTATGGTAAAGTTCTCCCCTTTTCCCAGTGAAATTCTATGACAAGTTCAGTTAGTGGTCTGAGCTCTGAAGTTTCACAGTTTCAGCTCTAACAGTAGAAAAAACCCCTCATGTTTTATTCCATTCCAACCCTCTCCCTTGCTTCAGTTCCTGGCAACCTTGCATCACTTCGTACCTGTCCATTCATCTTTTTCCCAAATTGTTTATAAGGCTGTCATTGTGTGTGAGTGTGTGTGTGTGTGTGTGTAAGTGTGTGTGTGTGAGTGTGTGACTAGTTCATGTGGCTGCAAGTTCCATTGACTGGCTGTGTCACAGGCAATATAGTCATTGGTTGATGGTCAAATGATGTGCTTCTGGTGTAGATCATTGCATATTAAATATCTATGGACATTCACATTCCTAATGGTCTCTCACATAATTTATCCCACAGGGCTGCTTGGTAAATATATGCTGAAAGGCGTGTAAGAAACTGGCAAGTTCCAACATAGTCTCTATATCAGGCAGGTGAAATCTCCAGCAGCTACATTGTTTCCCCCTCTTACTACTGTCAAGTTTTAGACACTTGGTGACTGTGTACATTCTGACAAACATTTAGACATATCTCATGGTTTTATTTGTATTTACCTGGTGATTAATGAAAATAGGCATATAATTCTTTTTAGCTATCACTATGTGCCTTCTTTAATGAAATATTTACTGAAGTTGGCTAGTGTTTTGTTTTGTTTTGTTTTGCTCTGTGACAGGGTTTCTCTGTGTAGCCCTGGATGTCCCAGAGCTCACTTTATAGACCAGGCTGGCCTTGAACTCACGGAACTATGCCTGTCTCTGCCTCAAGAGTGCTGAGATTAAAGGCATCCACCACCACCACCACCGTGCAGAAATCAGCTAATTTTTTATTGTTGTTGTTGTTGTTGTTAATGTCTGTCTTATATCAATATAATCTCAAGCAAAATCTCTACATAATTTTATAAAAATTGACAATTCTAAATTTTATATGTAAAAAAAAAAAAAATAGCCTAAAGTAGTCAGTAATTCTGTGAATAGGTGGGTCTGGGAAGCTGTCTCAGTGGGTAAAGTGTTTGCTATCCAAGTATGAAGCCCTGAATTAAAGTGTCAGCCCAGCACCCACATAAAACTGTGCAAACCCCTGACCTCAGCACTGGCGAGGTGGAGACAGGAGGATTACTGAGGCTCGCTAGACAAGCAGTTTACATGAAATGGCAAGGCCCAGGTACAGTGAGAGCCCCATTCAAATAATAATAATAATGAAGAGATGCATTGAGAAAAACGTTGGCATCCATCCTTCACAAACACGCAAACATCTATGCACACATACACAGACAAACAGGAACAATTAACTATCTGTATTTTTAAATTTTAAAAACGGATTGAAGGAGTCATGTGAGTAAGGATAACTGTGAATTTCTTTTTTAGCTGAAGAATAAACAAATGCAGCAGGAGAATAAGGAAGGTGAAGGCATGCACCTCCTCACCATCAACCTGGTGCAGAGGTGCTCTCCAATGCAGGGTGCCGGGACACTTGGCCACTCATTTTTATTTATAGAAGTGACCCCCGGGGCCCAGTTCCATCATATACGAAGGCCTTTGAAGCAAAACTGGGAATGGCTTGTATCATGACTGTTAACATAGTTTTTACTTTAACCATGTCACACAAACATTGTTTTATTTTATCTGTTATTGGCTTCTTTCTTCCCACCTTCCCCTCTTATTTATGCCATCAGAAAATAACTAAAGCTGCATGAGAAACCACCTTAAAACGTGAAATATTTTAGTGACGTGTGGAAGACTGCGTTGTAGGACACGCTGGAGTTTAAGTCAAGCAGAGTTAACTAGTAGCAGGGCTGATGTCAGCCGGGAGAGCATGGCTCTCTCTTGGCACCCGTGCCCATCTCTGAACCTGTGCAGCAGTACAGTAGGTGCAGCCCAAGAGCACTCGTCCCCTCCCTGATGAGTGATAAATGAGATGTTTTCTTTAATCGTTACAGCCAGGGTCAGTGCTGTGGACTTATTGGCTTAGTAAGAGAATATCAGAACTTGAAGTCAGCTGTGTGTAAAGTTCTGGAAAATGCTAGCAATGTTATTGCAATGAGAGCTACCATCAAGGACCTGGAGGACCTTAAGTGGGCTTTTTCCAAGGTAAAATGCAAATGCATTTATTTATGTGGTCTCCTGTGCTAGTTCATGCCTTTTACTCTTCAAGCAGTTCTCTGTGAAATTGTTCCTGTTAGTACATTTAGATGTGAATAATTACTGTTAGCAGTTCAACTTTTTTCTAATATTAATATCCTAAAATCTTTTAATTCAAGAAGATTATATATAAATATACATATGTATATGTGTATACATACAGTTGTGTATAGATACATATATATATACAATTTATGATTGTTAATTTCTGCAATAAAGCTAACAAAATTATTTCTTAGAGGCAAATGTTTTTAAACCCTTATCACTGGTTGTTTTACTAATTAAGGAAACATTTATGCCCACAGCATGAAACTATCAAGAACGAAATGAATTCCAAACAGAAAGAACTGAATGATTTTACCAGCAAAGGCAAACACTTGTTATCTGAGCTGAAAAAAATCCACAGTGGGGATTTCAGCTTGGTCAAGACAGACATGGAAAGCACCTTGGACAAGTGGCTGGATGTAAGCGCGCCCCCTGGTGTCCATGAGCGGCTTTACACACAGTTCCTCAGTCAAACCGGCAGAGATTAACCAGAGAGCTGGTTAAGACTTTCTGAGTCAACTCCTGTAGTAGAAAATGGCTGTTAATATCAACTATTAACACGTACAGTTATTATTTTATTACATATTCTATATTATATTATATATATAATATTCTATTATAGAAATAAAAGCACACACGGACACCGGTTAGATTTTTAGTATGCCTATACACTGGAACTAGGTAGAAACTAACTCCATAAGCTGTCTTCAAATCTCCCAGCCACAGCATCCCATGCCATTTGCTCTAACCATCCTATCTGAGCTACTTAACATACAAAATCCCATAAATATTTGCCCACATTTTTCATCTCCATTCTCCCTCTGGCCGTGCACTTCCAGTTCATCTTTAACCCATGTGGACTCTGTTTCCTTTCTCCTCCCTGCACCTCTCCTGTCTCGCTTCTCTCCTGATGCTTCTCCCCCTCCTCCTCCCCATGCCCCTGAACCTTAGCTCTGCCTCCTCTCTCCCACACAGCCCAGGTATAGGAACTTTTTATTGGCCGATCAGGGATAATTTGTGAGGCAAGGTTCACACATGTCATTCTGGTTACATGAAAGTTTGCTCATAGAACAGTAAGAATCTCTGAGGGAGGGGTGGGGATGAGGCAAGCAGTAACAATCTGAATACATGTTGGCTCCAGATCAACCACCACAACTCCAAAGTGAAAAAAAAATAGTGTCCACATAATAGTTGGAGATGGTAAAAAGTTACATGAATTAGCTTGACAAATTTACCAACAGGTGTCTGAGATTTCATATAGCTTCAAGCATTACAAATTCTAACCTGGAATGTTTCCCTTCTCAAAATGTTGGAGCCATGACTAAAAAGCAGTTAATATACTCATATCTGATAGGAACTTAAATCCCAAGAAGTAGCAACTTCGAGTGCAGAGGCTGTAGGGTGCTGAAGAGCATCGGTCCCGTAGCTCTGAGTTCTTGCACCGTCATTCACCAGCTCCTGGCCAGATGCTAACTCTTTTCTTTTATCAGGGATCTGCTCAAGTCTAATTAATGTCCATCCCCATATGACAACATTCCAAATAAAAGTGCTTTGAAAGTAACTCCAGGGCCAGAGAGGTGGCTCAGAGGTCAAGAGCACTGGCTGCTCTTGGGGAAGGCCGAGGGTTGATCCCCTGCGCTCACACAGCAGCTCACAGCCATGTGTAACCCTAGTCACAGGGGGCTGTGACAGCCTCCTCTGGCCTCCACAGGCACTGTGCACATCAGGTACATATACACACACGCAGGCAAGATGCCCATTCACGTAAAATAATAAATAAGTATAATGCAACCCTATGGAGGCCTCATTACTCTTATGTAGCGAGGGACACCTCTGAGCATTCTAACATGCCCCTTGTCATTAGAACCCTGACTTACATCTCGTGATTCCAACAACTCTCCCATCACTGGATTTACTCTGTGTATTGGTTAGCATTTAAGGTGCGCTGGTTAATGTACAATGATTACTTTAAAACTATCTGTTTTTAATTTCTCTAACCAGGAAAGAATTTATGGGGGGGGGGGATGGAGGCCCCAGATCCTCATATTTCATGACTCGGCTGGTCCATTCTTTCCCAGGCCTCAGAGAGAATTGAAGAAAACATGGACAGGTTGAGGGCAAGCCTGTCCATCTGGGATGACGTCCTTTCAGGTAAAGATGAGATTGAAGGGTGGTCCAGCAGCTGTCTCCCTCAGCTGGCTGAAACCGTCAGCGACCTGAACAACAGCATCAGAGCTGAGGAATCCCTGAGAGAATTTGAGGTAACTGATGGTGTGTGCACGTGGGGCTGGGGTGCATCATTACATAAAGTACGAGAGGAAGTGGCTATTCCTGAGTCCATTCTGCCTTTCAAAGACGCGGATGAGTATAACAGGTCGCCGAACGTCAGCTGTTGATTTAAAGCATTGATTAGGCTCTAGTTAAGCATTTAAAAGAATTGTTTCTTAGTTGGGGCTTGTGTTAGTTGCTTTTCCGTGGCTGTGATAAAAACGCCCTGACAGAATCAGCTTTGGAGAGAGAGTTTATTTACGCTTACAGTTCCAGGAAGGATACAGCCCATCATAGCAGGGACAGCGTGCCCGCAGGCGTGTGAGGCTGGCTGTCTGGAAGTGGGGCTAGGGGATGAGCCCTCAAAGCCAACCCCCTGGAAAGATTTCCTCCAGCAAGACTTCACCTGCCAAAGCTTCTATGGCCTTTCAAACAGTGCCACCTACTGGCCACCAAGTCTTCCAACAGACGGGGATAATTTTCACTCAACCCATTCAAATCTAAGTAAAAGAAGAAAAGCTTACAAAATGTCCAATTATTCTGAGAATATGGTACCTTTTGTAACTTTTTGTACCTATTGTTTGTCATTCAGAAAAAAAATCTTTCACTGAGTACTTGCACTATGCTGTGTTACACTTTATTGTGGAAATAGAAGAAACCTAAGGTTAGGAAATACATGGCCTTTTAAAACTGTACTTGCTTATTTATCTTAAACTACTTTCAATCCCATGTATCGCATTGATTTTAAAATTGACTCAAGAAATCTCTAGCAAATGTTGTGCTGGGTTTTTGGTGACTTGATACAAACTAGAGCCATCTGGAAAGAGGGATCCTTAATTGAGGAATCCCTTCCAGCAGATTGGCCTCTACAGCCTTCTTGATTAATGATTTATGTAGGAGGGGCTGTCTCTAGGCCTTGGGATGTAGGCAAGAGCAACCTGAACAAGAGATGGAGAGCAGGCCAGGGAGCAGCTTGCACCCCTGGTTCCTGCCTCTTCTGCTTGAGCTCCTGCCCTCACTTCCCTCAGTGATGGACTGATGCACGAGAATAAGCCAAATAAATCCTTCTTTCCCGAGTTGCTTTTGTTCACTGTGTTTATGAGGCATAAGCGTGAGATCCTGATCTTGGCTCACCAGAAATCTCATAAAAGCTTATGAGCATGGTGATCTGTCTGTAATCCTGTCCCTATGAATCAGTGGCAGGGGGTCCCGGAGCAAGCTGGTAGTCAGACTTTCCAAATCAGTGAGCTCTGGGTTCAACTGAGAGAGCCTTCCTCAACATACAAGATGGAGAGCAATGGAGGAAGATGCTCAGTGTTGACCTCTGGCCTTCACACACAGGTGCACAGATCTGTACATATGCCCACACACAAACACATGCTGATACATTTTACACACAACTTAAAAGATACACAGTGACAATTGGGCTGTGATTAGGAACTAGAGAGAGCAAGCTGTTTCAGAAGACATCGAATTGCTGTCCTCTTGGTAAGGGATCTGCCTAAGCATACTCGACAGCCCAGCACCCCAGCTGGAATGTACAAGGAGCCAAATGAATGACTGTAGTCTGATTTCAGTGTACTGCCTAAGTTACCTGGCATCTCTGACTCAGTTTTTGACAGATTTTGTAATTAATTCCAATTTCTACATGTATCAGAACTTAATAAAACTATACAGACTACACATTCAGACATAATAAAGAATTCCAAGGTCATTTCAGTTGCGATCACCAATGTTAAAATTAATATTACAAATCATATAGTGATCTATGCTGGAGTCAGGCATTCAGGCTTAAAAAAAAAGTGGTTGTTAAGAATTGTGTAAGTTAAAAAGCAACAAATCAAGCAATCCAATTAAAAATGGGGTATTGAGCTAAACAGAGAATTCTCTGTAGAAGAATATAGAATGGCAGAGAAACACTTAAAGAAATGCTCAACGTTCTTAGCCATCAGGGAGATGCAAATCAAAATGACCCTGAGATTTCACCTTACACCAATCAGAATGGCTAAGATCAAAATCTCAAGTGACAGCACATGCTGGAGAGGTTGTGGAGAAAGGGGAACCCTCCTCCACTGCTGGTGGGAATGTAAACTTGTACAACCACTTTGGAAATCAATCTGGTGCTTTTTCAGATAATTAGGATGGTGCTTCCTTAAGATCAAGCTATACCACTCCTAGGCATATATCCAAAAATGCTCAAGTACACAAGGACACTTGCACAACCATGTTCATAGCAGGTTTATTCATAATAGCCAGAACCTGGAAACAACCCAGATGTTTTCAGGATACAGAAATTGTGGTACATTTACACAGTGGAATGCTACTCAGCAATTAAAAACAAGGAAATCATGAAATTTGCAGGTAAATGGTGGGATCTAGAAAAGATTATTCTGAGTGATGTATCCCAGAAGCAGAAAGACACACACGGTATATACTCACTTATAAGTGAATGCTAGACCTATAGATAGGATAAAATACTAAAATCTGTACACCTAAAGAAGCTAAACAAGAAGGAGGACTTGGGATGAGATGATCAGTCCTCACTTAGAAAGACAAATGGGATGGACATTGGAAGTAGGAGAAAACAAGTACAGGAGCCTACCACAGAGGGCCTCTGAAAGACTCTACCTAGCAGTGTATCAAAGCAGATGCTGAGACACATAACCAAACCTTGGGCAGAGTGCAGGGAATCATATGAAGGAAGGGGGAGTTAGCAAGATCTGGAAAGAACAGGAGCTCCACAAGGACCAAATATATCTGGGCACAGGGGTCTTTTCTGAGACTGATTCTCCAACCACGGACCATGCATGTATATAACCTAGAACTCCTGCTCAAAAGGAGCACATGGCAGCTCATTATCCAAATGGGTTCCCTAGTAAGGGGAACAGGGACTGTCTCTGACATGAACTCAGTGACTGGCTCTTTGACCTCCCCACCCCCATGGGAGGAGCAGTCTTGCTAGGCCACAGAGGAGGACATTGCAGCCGGTCCTGAAGAGACCTGATAAGCTAGGGTCAGATAGAAGAGGAGGAGGACCTCCCCTATCAGTGGACTTTTGTGAGAGGCAAGGAGGAGATAAGGGAGGGAGGGTGAGATTGGGAGGGAATGAGGGATCGGGCTACAGCTGGGATACAAAGTCAATAAACTGTAATTAATGTGAAAATCTAATAAAGAAAAGAATTGTGTGAGACAGCATTGAACGCAGTTGTTTAAACAGTGTTGGCTGGAGAGATGGTTTGCTGCATAAAAGCACAGGCTGCTCTTCCATGTCCAATTTCCATTTTCCACATGGAGACCCACAACCGTTTGTAACGGTTCCAGGCAAGCTGACACCGTCTTCTGGCCGCTACAGGAACCATGCATGCTTGTGGTACACAGACATACATGCAGACAAAATACCCAACCATAAAATAAAACATAAATTAAAAACAAAAACAAAACCAAGCAACTCAGTTGAGTGGCTGGAACACGGCATGTATTGCTCTTGTAGAGGACCTAAGGTCAGTTCCCAGCTCCCACCTTGGGAAGTTCACAGCAACATGTAACTCCAGGAGAATCCAATGCCTCTGGCCTCCACAGGCAGCTGCACGTACGTGCACACACACATATAAACACACTAGCACACACGAATTCACACACACACATGTATGTGCATCTAGACAAACACACACATGCACACATACACACAATTTAAAAAGTAAAATAAATCTTTAAAAAAAACCACAAACCTAACTGTAGGGCCTGCAGAGATGACTTTGTGGATATCGTCTTCCTATAGAGGACCTGGGTTCAGTTCCCAGCACCAACATGGCAGCTCACAACCACATGTGCCTGCATTTCCTGGAGATCAATTACTTTCTTCTGGCCTCAGTGGGCACTAGATATGAACACACTGTACATGCAGACATGCAGACAAAACACTCAAGCCTGATCATGAATAAAACTACAGTTCAAGAGATCCCATTACAAACAGAAATTAATGAATACTCAAAATTTATCATTTTGCCGGGGTTGGTGGTGATGTTTCACACCTGTGATCTCAGTACCTTGGAGGCTGAGACAGTGCGATGCCTACAAGTTTTGGGTGAGCTTGGTCACCTGGCAAGACCATGTCCCAAAAGGCACATCATCATTTACTAATCACTGTCATGCACATCAGTGTGCTCTAAGCCTTTGGATTCCTAGTGTTTCTTCCATCTGCCGCAGACATGGGGCATGCCATGCTGTGCTATTGTATGGTGTGCCTCCTGCTCCACAGGGATAGTGAGGTCATGCTTAGAGCCTGCAGTGATGGTGAGTGCTGCAGCATGGTTTTTAGCAGGCCAAGTTGTCAGGTGAGCCTTCTCTTGCTGGCTGCAGAAACTCTGCTATCTGGTTCAGTCTCTCAGAGATGAGCTTTTAGCTGCTGACCATGTGACATGCCAGTTGGTAGATCAGTACACCTGGCCCTGTCCTTCCTACTGCTGGGCCTTCCTTCCCACCAGCCCCAAATGAGTGTAGCTCAGCAGGTGACTTCCCTAACTGCTTCTGTAAAAGGCCACCAGTCCTGGCAGTGAGTCCCACATTGTTATGGTGAATTGCTTTCTGAGCTCAGGCCATCGGAAGCTCTGCAACCACAAAGCACTAAATTCTGTTTTCCAAGCTGAGAATGCTCTTTCCTTAAGCATTCTTTTGTGACTCAAAACTATGAAGTTCATAAGCATCTTTGCTCAGTAATGATTTTTTTGGTGTTAATTGTTGATGCAAAAAAAGAGGAGGTAACCTATACAATGTCAAAATTATTTCTGCATCAGGTCCTGTAAATATTTATTTGAAGTGTGTCTTCTGTGTATGGTTGACAGTCGCTGGCAGTCCTGATGTGCATTTGTGTTAGCATGCTTCTGCAAGACTGTAACGTTGCCATAGTAACTGGCACTAATACCGCTAATGAATAAATGACAGCCTAGTGGGCATCTGCGCTGACTCAGCACTTTGGGTCAGTGCCTTATTTTTTCCAGGGATCTTCTTTCCTAATAAAGGAGGGTGGGAAGGATGACGTCCCCACATACCTCCTCTTATTCAGAGTGAACATTAATGGTTTTCCACGCCTGTGAGGAAGTGGAGCGGATTTTCTAAGTACTGCTTAAAGCTGGAGCCCTGTGTGTCTCAGTAGAAGAGGCCAAGCAAACGTAGCCTGTTGATCTTTAGATTAGTGATCTCTTTCCTCCGTGTCTTTGCTTTCATAGTCTGAAGTTAAGAACAAAGCCTTGAAATTGGAAGAACTGCGTTCCAAAATCAGTGATCTCAAAGAACTAACGAAAAATCCAGAAACACCGACAGACCTTCAGGTAAGCACGTGGTGACTTTTTTTAGCAAATGCCATCTAACAGCCAATCACAAACATCCTTACTCCCAAAATGCGAGACGTAGGTGAATGCGTGTGCGTGTGTGTGTGTGTGTGTGTGTGTGTGTGTGTGTGTGTGTGTGTATTTCTCCGTATCACCATAATAACTGGAAAACATGGGCTTTTGAATATATAAGGGTTAAACATTAACATCAGCAGAATTCTATTTTCCCATATTTATTGTATATTTACAACTCAAACACTCTAATGTTACAATAAGAGTAGTTCTGCTCTTACTGAAGTTTGGATGCATTATCAACTGTATTGTTTCTTGCTACATTTTTCCATTTAGACAGGAATAGAACTCCCTTAAGGACTATGTGTTCTTACGAATAATGTGCTGATTCATTTACACAGTAACTGGGCCTGGGGACTGGTCAGGACTGCTACTCTCCCTTCCTCTTATAAGGTCCCAGTCCCAGGTCAGGGAGGAGTCAGGTTGCCCAGGTTTGGGCTACTGTAGTGTCTGAGCCATCGACACACCCAGTGTGGTAGGTCTGCTTTGGCCGATAGCCTCACCGAATCCTGGCTGAGGTCTCTAGTCTCTGGGGTACCTTTCCATACTTTTTAAAAAAGCTATGTTCATGGATTTTCTCTGTGTTTTCTCTTCTTGTACCATTCTCTCTTTAAGTGACTTAGCCATGCTTGGTACTGATCTCAGACATGTATGGGACTCTTGGACATGTCACCTGAAACAGGAAGTGACATTCCTATTCACAACTGAGAAATATGTGGCTACTGTCACACAGAGCCGAGTCATCAATGGATATTTACAGAGTGAGGATTTAGCAAGGACTTGGAGTGTGAGCTACTGTTATTCTGCACCTCTTCTTCTCTTTCTCTCTGCTTGCCTCCCCTCTCCCTTCCCCCAAGGAAGTAGGATGATATATCTTAACTGTCCTCACGTATAGGTAGAAGGACTTCTGTGGCACCACTTAAAGGGCAGGCTAATTTCTCTCTTGCAGCTGGCAGCCACTAGTGTCTGGTTCTAAACCCTCGCCCAGGCAGACTGGCTGACTATTGGTATATTTACCCAAGAGTAAATGCTTGCATGGGTGGCCTGCATCTCAGCAGCACTTGTGGTGGTGGTTGGGGTGGGTGCGAGTGCCAGCATGTGGCCTCAGCCCAAAAGTTATGAGTGAAGGAAGAGACCACCCTAAAGCCCACAGTGTGAGGACAGCTGGTTTGTCTAAGAAGGCTTCCTAAAGGGATAAACTCTGCGATGTGTTGGCCTAAGAAAAGACAGAGTAAAGAGGCATTGTAGAGTGCACAAGCTCATCTAGGGACCTTCAGCTGGGGGTCTCAGCATTGAGGGCATTCTCAGCAAAAAAAAACCCACAGACCGAGAAAAGCAGGGCTGCATGAGGTACCTAGCGAGTCTTCCGTTCTGAACGCCTCTCCCACCACCCAGGCTTGTGGGAACTCCAGCTGTGCCAGGCAGGAATAGAAGCTCACAGCAAAGCATGAAGAAAAGAGGCTCTCACTCATTGCTCACAGCTGCTCTGAGATAGGAGTTAAAAATACAGGAGGCCTTTAGCCCTGATCTTTGAGTTGGGGGATTAAGACCAGTTTTTAGTTAAGAGTAGTTGTAAGTCCTTTTATTAACTCAGGAGCCACAAAAAACAACTTTCCTGAAATGCCTCATCCCAGGAGACGAAAGCAAATAGCCGTACAGGATATACATCTTAGAGGATAAAATTGCTTCGCTGTTAAATCCTATGGTGGGTTTCCTCCGACCAGAGTCACACCCAAGCCGGCCTGTGTGAGCGTCCCCAGTGGAGAATTAACTCTTGGCCTTTTAGTATGTGATCTCCTCTTCCCTGGAGCCTCCATCAAAGCCACACTCTATTCAGGCACAGGGTTAGCTGCAGCTCTGCTCTTTCCTTTCCCTCAATGTGCTTGGCAGCTCACTCTTCTGGCTTTCCATCCAGGGAAGGCCGTTAGTGCTGGAGTGGCTTCCATGGTGAGCCTAATGTGTTCTTGATGGAGTTACACATAAACAGAATTCCTAGCCAGTGAGTGTGCTTTCCGTCCTCCCCGGTTTTCACAAAACTGAGTTTTATATTTAGTTTATAGAAGCAGACTTACGGCAGACACTGGAGCATGCCAAAGAACTCACCGAGGAGGCAAAGGGAACCCTGAAGGATTTCACTACTCAAAGTACCCAAGTGGAACGATTCGTCAAGGACATAACAACGTGGCTGATCAGTGTGGAGGAATCATTGGCCAGATGTGCCCAAACCAAGACGTGTGAGGGGCTGAAGAAAGTCAAGGTAGGTTAGAACTCTCCTCCATTGCTTCCTCTTGCAGTCTGTAGTCATTCTCCTGTCTCGTAACTGTGATAAAGATATAACTTCTGCTTTCAAATACTCATATGCGAAGTATTAGCATCCAGACTAACCAATTCATCATATTAGACAGAGAGGAGTGAGTGGCGTGAGGAAGTGAGGGATGGGTGAGGGTAGACAACGTGCATTGCTGTAGGCCCCACCGGCCAGCTGTGCATATATGTGTGCATCTATATTTATACATATTTGTATTTACATGGTACATGTTATGGATATAGTATGTGTTATGTTACAGATCTGTATATAATATAGATCTTATAATATATGTACATGGATATAGATATTCACAGGAGAGAGAAAGAGATCTTTTTCGAAAGAACAATGTTGAAAATTCGTATATCTATCTATCTATCTATCTATCTATCTATCTATCTATCTATCTATCATATATTCTGTTTTGTAAAAGGGTGAGGCCCGTGGAAAGCTTTTTTGACTCCATCAGTTTTTAGGCTTGAATCTCATAGCTTAATTATCTCATCACTTAATTAGCTTTGTGTTTCATTTGAACACTTTCATCTATAGAATACTGTAATTTTTTTAAGTGAGAAAATCATCCTATGTCCTTTCTTCACACTAACAGATGACAGCTCTGCTCAACTGTTTGTAAAGTAGATATATCGTGCTGACTTTTCAACATTGTTCTTTTGTAAAAGATGCCTTTCTTTCTTCGTGTGTGTGTGTGAGTGTGTGTCTGTGTGTGTGTGTGTCTGTGTGTGTATGCGTTCACATGTGTGTCCAGGTGTCCAGAGAGTGCAGAAGAGGGTTTGGAGTGACAGGTGTTTGTGAGCCTGGGGTGGGGAACCAACTCGGTCCTCTGTGAGAACAGCATGAACTTTTGACCACTGAGCCAGCCTCCAGCCCTGGCCACTGTTCTTCCTGAGCATGGTTTTACACTAGGCCACAGCCCAGGACACAGAGCTTTAAGTCTGCTGCTGGTGTGTCCCTGTGCCCTGTAATCCCTACACAGAAGCACACAGTGATCCACTGAACAATAAGGGCTGGCTGCACTAGTTTCTAACTTAGAACTTGAACTCAGGATCAGAGCCAAGGAACTCTAGCTAGAATAGTTTGTGATCTGAGACTACGGCACAGATTCCAGCCTCCTCCAGTAGCTGTTACCAAGGAGGACAGACACATTTTATTAAAGAATCAGTGCAGGACTGGGTGACAGCTTATTTGGTGATCTCCTTGCTGGACAAGCTTGAGAACATAAACTGACCTTGAGAGAGAGAGAGAGAGAGAGAGAGAAAGCTGTGTTTGTGGCTCAAACTTGTAATCTTATACTCTTAGTGCTGGGGTGGAGACAGATAAATCCCTGTGACTCAGTCAGCCTAGCAAAGTCCGGAGACTGTCTCAAAAATCAAGATGGAAAGCTCCTGGTGGCTGTCCTCTAAGCTCCACCCACATGCAGACACATGAATACACACATATACACAAGGACACATGCTAAAAAAGATAGAATCCATATGGGTCTATGAAATATCTATTTTGTCTATTACACAAGTTCTTTTCAATTTTTTAATATTTCTTTTCATTATTTTTGAGATTCTGCTTGAGTGTTGTAATTACATCATTTCTATTTCAAGCTCCCCCTACTCCTTCTGTGTCCCTGCATTCCTCTCAAATTCATGGCATCTTCTTTAAATATTATTATTGGGGTGTGTGTGTGAGTGTGTGTGTGTGTGACCTACTGAGTCTACTTACTATTGATACTTACATTTAAGGCTGAGCACCTGAGGCTGAATAGCCTGGCAGAGCCTGTCCCCAGAGAAGATTGATTCTCCTCCTCCTAGCAGCCATGGACTTCCCAAAGCTCTTTGTCTAGAGAGTCCTTCCATCCATGCTGAGATGTCAACTGACATTGTCACTGTACATAAGATTTCATGGGTTCAGCATCTTTAGAATATAGAAAATACCTTTAAATCCTACTTACAGGTATACACGACCGAGGAAATGGCAACATTGTTCATTTAATATCTGCTATGTTTTTAAACATACCAGAGTGAAATAATTACCACATTTCTTTTGAACAGGATGAGTATCCTTCATAGTATATTCACAGCATCCTTTCTTCATGTAGGACATACAAAAAGAACTTCAAAGTCAACAAAACAATATCAGCTCCACCCAAGAAAATCTCAACAGTCTGTGCCGGAAGTACCACTCCGTGGAGTTGGAGAGCCTGGGCCGGGCAATGACTGGGCTAATAAAAAAACATGAAGCCACAAGCCAGCTGTGCACGCAAACCCAGGCCAGCTTGCAGGACTCTCTGGAAAAACACTTCAGTGGTGAGTGAAGGACTTTCGTCTGAATCATCTGTTTATGAGAAGGGGCTTGGACCAAATGCTGCTCAGAAACTGCCAGCAGAAGTCTGAACAAACTTCCCAGTCAGATTTAAATTCATTTATGCTCTGAGATTTGGGTAACAAAAGTTTTATTCCAGACACTCTAGCCTTTCAGAGAATGTTCTCTTTCTCCTCGAGAAAGCAGGAGTATACCCATTTAGATGACTCTGAATTTTATCTGGATCTTCTACATAGGAGCTTACACATGTGAAGAACTACCTCTCTGTTAAGTGGTCAGCAACTACTGCCCAAATAGCAAAGGACACTTTCTCATGCTTGAATGAATTGTTGCTATAAACATGGATGCTAAAAAGAGCCATAGCCATGGCAGCCATATAGTCCAGGAACTTTGCACTCCCCATCTTTGATGTGGGAACATAGTGGCTTTCTAAGCCAGTGTAGTAGAGAAAGTGGTTCTTGCCAAGGCCATAAAGAAAACCTTTCTTTTCGATCTGGGGAGAGGGCTTGTGGGTAATTAGCTCAATGTTCAAGCATGAGGAGCTGCACATGGATCCCATGCAGCAGCCATATGGAAAGCTGACTCTGGCGGCGGACATCTGTTCACGCAGCTCTGGGGAGAAAGAGATGGGTGGATCCCCGGAGCTCACTAGACAGCCAGTCTGGCTTCATCTATGAACTCCATCTTCACTGAGTGACTGTACCACAAAAAATAAAGTTGGAGAGGAAGAAAGACAGCATTGTAGACTTCTAGCCTCCACACACATGCACACACACAAATGAACATGTGTGTATGTGTCAACACTCCTGAGAATGTGTCTCCTGGCATTCTTATAAACTTTTTCCCAAAATAAAGGAATATAATGGGAAATCACATTTTCCAAGTACTCTATTAGTTTTCAGTATCTCTGAGGTAATTTTTCCATTCCACCATAAATATTCATGGGGGTAGATCACATTATAATATTTTCTATATGATTGCTTTCTTTTTTGGGATGTTTTGCAAAGCAAGATGGAAAGGGATGAAATAGAGAAATAATTAATTGCAACAGTCCTAGGAGCTCACTCACCATTTTGGATTTATCTCTCCTTGTCGTTATTTTCAAAAGATTCTATGCAAGAATTCCAAGAATGGTTTTTAGGAGCAAAAGCAGCAGCCAGAGAATCTTCTGAGCTAACTGGGGACAGCCAAGTTCTAGAAGCTAGGCTCCACAGTCTTCAGGTATGGATGGCGTGATCTGACACGATGCTGTGATGATGATGACACCCTTCCTTCCCCAAACACTTCCCTGGGCCAGACTTACACTGTTGCTTTGCCTGAACCATTTTGTCCATCTTTCCTTCTTCCCATCATGGAGTTGGGCTGTTGAGTCAGAAGGGGTTATGCAACAAAAAAAGTCACAGGGAAAACAAAGCAAGCTGGAATTGTCTAGACCCCTCGTCTCATGTTTTTTAACTACCTGGCCATACTTTAAAAGTCATTTAAAATGAAACTTTAATATTTGTAGCAGAAAAAAAATAAATATTTTTAGCACTACAGAGAAACTTCTAGGAGTGGTTTATTGTCTGCTTTTAAGGAAAAATTACCTTATGTCTTTTTCTATTTTATTTATTTGGGGTCTAAGTTTGAAAATATATTAGAATCAGAATAATGGCTATTACAGGCCATTTGCTGTCTATTGATGGAAGAAAATATATTCACCCAGGACAACTGCTATTTTAAAGCAGGAGCCAAGATGAACTTTCAGAAGAATAGGTTCAAGTGAGGTTTTGGCCAAGTTTTCATAGCTACTTATCTGAATATAGCACAGTGCTAAGTATTGTAAAACCAATGTTTATGTTTTTAAAAAATCAGCGGGACCCACTGTGGTGGTGTAAGCCTGTGGTCCCAGCACCTGCACTGCCAACACGAGAGGTTCTTAAGTTAAGGCCGGTCTGTACTCCGTAAAACAACCATCCAAAGAAAGATCTCTGTTAAGGCACATGGCAGGAGAACACTGAGAATGAGAACTCCCTCTTAGGCAGCCATTGTTTTCAGTTTCTCCTTAGCACCAGTTGCTGCCCTGTCTTGCCTGCATGAGTTAGGAGCCTTAATTTTACGCAGCCATGTGCATCCTGTCAATCTAGCCTTGTTAGACCTCTTCCCCCTCAGCGGTGCTTTGCTTCCCGGTTACTTTATTACCTCAGCTCAGCACTGTGATCAAGACTCCCACTTTCAATAGCACGCATCTCTATTGCCTTGACTTCCAGGGCGTCCTGGATTCAGTCAGTGATGGGCAGAGCAAGCTGGACGCAGTGACTCAGGAAGGGCAAACTTTGTACGCACATCTGCCCAAGCAGATTGTTAGCAGCGTCCAGGAGCAAATCACAAAAGCCAATGAAGAGTTCCAAGCGTTCCTGAAACAATGCCTTAAAGACAAGCAGGCTCTCCAGGACTGCGCACTGGAGCTGGGGAGGTAGGTTATCAGAATAAATGTGCATTTCACCACACACAGAACCGCTTTCTAAACACTTAATGGGAACAGTTCATGTGAAGACACAAACAATGTTTAATCGTGAGTTTAAATTGTAATGAATGTTGTTGACTTGCCTTAAGCAAAGCTAGTTTTTATTTAAAGAATGATGGCTGCTTCTGAAAGGCTCTTTTGGTTTCATTTCCTATGTGGGGGTGGGAAGCCAAGGAATTATATCCACTGGTAATCATAAATGACTTGGCTACCTGCCATTTTAGTCAATTTGGCTAACTCGGGGTTTTAGGACCAATTTCTTTCCCCTTTATTCATGTCTGCTGGGATAGTCTTGGTAGAAAACAGCTATTGAATTTCATGGATCAAGAGTCTAATCAGTCACACACACACAAACACACATCAGTGGAAGAAAATATATTACTAGAAGGTAAACTCTTTGCTGTAGGGAGAAAAGACATCTGTGGGATTAGGCTGTCTTCCTTGTGACAATCTTACCTGTAAATGCAGGTGTTTTCCTCTAGCACCCCAGCTCTCAAAGTAACAATTCTTATTCCTTATATTTATGAATATATGCCTAGGCCATAAGCTTTGGCTTATTCCCTGACTAGCTCATAATTTAACTACCCATTTCACTTATCTTATATGTGCCGTGTGGCCAGTTACCTCTCCTACAGTTTCACATGTCCATCTTTCTGAGAGCCTGGGGTGAATCTCCTGTCTCTGACTATATCCCAGACTTCATCTTTCTCCCTGCCAGAACTCCCACCTATTTCTGGACTCAGCTAATAGGCCACCAGCTTTTATTGACAGGTACTGCTTCCACACAGACACAAGAGGTTTCTTCTAGACTTCTTGTTGAAGTCTCTATATAAGTTGAAAATTCATGAGGCTTTAATTACTGCAAAGATGAGGTTGTGACCTCAGCTGTTGAGACAGTAACAGACATGTTGAGAGGTTTCTAAGATATTCTTTTTTCCCTCTAGCTTTGAGGACCAGCACAGAAAACTGAGCTTATGGATCCATGAGATGGAGGAAAGGCTAAACACGGAAAACTTAGGGGAGAGCAAACAGCACGTGCTGGAGAAGAAACATGAAATCCACAAAGTTGAGCTGTTCCTGGGAGAACTCCTGGCGGCCAGGTGTGGTGCAGAAATGGAGAGGGTTGTTGATTTGTGATTTTAGGCTGGTTAGTTAGTTACTGGCCTGTTTCTTGGTTGATTGTAATGGTTAGTGGTTACTTCTGTTCCTGACTGTCTCAGCTAACAGGCTGCATTCTTTATGGAAGTGTGGTATTCTACACAAGTGTGGGAAAATATAAGTCGATCATTTATATGCTGGATCCCTCTGCCTTTGCTCAAGAAGTTAGTTTGCTCCCTTCTCTCTCTAGCTTCAGCTTAGCTTTAGGGAATTTTATTAAGAATATTTCACTTCCCTTCATGGGATTAGCTTGTGTTCATTACTACCAGAAGAAGATGACAAAAGGAAAGAAAACTACAAATTCACAATGACAAAAAATACAGATAGAAACCCAGTTCCCATACATGTCTTCACATACTGTAGCTTCCAGCCATGTCACATTCACTCGTCCTTACCGTACCATTAATGCCCTGAGAACTGTGGCCACTGGCGCTCACCCTCCCTCGATTCCTCTCCTCTGCACTCTCTCTTCATTGCTGCCCGGGCTCCTCTCCTGGGTTGAGTCCCCTTATCGTTTGACACCAATGCCGTCTGCAGTGTTTTGATCCTTACATTCTTGCTCCACTCCTAGTACTTTCCTGTTTTGCCTCTGCTGTAAGATAAAAGGCTGTATACTAGGAAGGGCAGCTTGATCTGGAACTTGGGCTCCTTAATGACCTCTCTGAATGCTTCTCTATGAAGCAGAAAAGAACAGGGCACAGCATGCTTAATGAAACAATCACTGAAATTATGACCTGAGCAAGAGCTGCCTAATTCAGAAAACTACAGTCCTTCTCCATTTCCACTGAGTTCTGTTTATGGCCCAATATGCTGGTTTTCACCGTCTTGAAGAGCAACCTTGCAAACAAATGTGCGGCAGAACATGCGTCATGACTAAAATCACTCCATAGTATCTGTGGAGCTGTGTATGGGGCCCCAGTGGAGATCAAGATCCCTGAGCACTCAGTTACATGGCATCCGTGTTAGGTCATCTATCCTGCTTGCATCCCCCACAGTACGGACCAGCTCCCGATTACTTACAAAGTAGGGGTTATGGAAGTAGCTATTGTGTGTGGTTCAGGGAGTACTGAGAAGGAGAGAAGTCTGCGTGCATTCAGTGCAGACAATTATTTAAAACACAGATTCAGAGCAGCTGAATGACAGAGCACATGCCTGTAATCCCAGAACTCAGGGAGGCAAAGGCAAGGGGATCTCTGTGAGTTCAAGGCTGGTCCAGTCTACAAAGTGAGTCCAGGACACCCAAGGCTACACTGAGAAACCCTGTCTCAGAATACCAAAACAAAACAAAGAATAGATTCTGTAGGTTGGTAGTCAGATCTGCAGATGTGGAGCCTGAGACTCAGGGGCCTACAGCCACGGTACTTGTTGGCACTCCACTTTGGTAACTACCGAGACGTATTCCTGGTGTGCTTTGGTTCTGCCTCTGGGTACCCTTCAGCGACTTCAGTTCTTCCCATCTTCCCGTTCCCATTGTCTGGAAAAACAGACAGTGTTGACAGAGGAAAACAATAGTATGGCTCTTACTAATTTTCTGAAAATCAACCTATATTTTTCTTTCCGAATCTTGGCTGGATACAACATAATATAAACAAGCCCGCACCTGCCTCCCCTGAAGTGATTTCTGTTCCTGACCCTACTTCTTGACAGGCTGCTGTTTATAGTCATCACTCTTTCTTGACATCACTATTCTAAAACTGCACAGGAGGAAAGGGCCATCACACAATTCACTGTCTTTTTGTACCTCTCTCTCACACACACACACCCCCGCCAGCATGCATGGATGCAGGTGTGTGTGGAAGACAGATGGCAACCTTAGCTGTTGTTCCTCAGACACCGCTCAGCTCCCTCACTGGCCTGCAACTCCTCAAGCACACTAGGCTAACTAGCTAGCGAGTCCCGGAGAGGCCATCTCCCTGCCCCCACCTTCCAGCATTGGGGTTGTAAGTGTGCCCACCACCAAACCTGGCCTTCACCGGTTTTCTAATAATGACAGCGTTGACACATAATTATTGGAGTGTCACTCTCTGGTATTCCAGGACCTCCAGTAAGCCATCTCCAGTGTGTTGGACTTAGGTCTTTCCTTACAAACTGCCGCTTCCAGCAGCAGCAGAAAGCTCCTCACTCAGATTCCCGTGCTCTGTCACCTCCTTTGGTTTTTGGGGTCTCACTATGTAGTCCACATTGGCCTCCAACTAACCATCTTTTTGTCTCAATTTCCCAAATGCTGGGATTATGAGGGTGCACCGCCACGAGGACCCAAGCTACCCTTGGGTACTGCTTGCTCCTCCCAATCTTCTGGGCATTTCTTATCAGCAAGTGGCCAAATATTTTAAAAATTAGCAGGACAATCTTTAAAAGTTAGAGGGACATATCCTTTGGAAAAAGCATAAAGACCTGTGACCATCCATTGAGCAAATAATTTTGTAGTAGCAAAGAAATGTCTTATATTGGTTGTTATGTAACCCATAATAGGTATACCATATCCTGTAACCCACCTCCCTGCTCACTGAGCAGACTGATCACAAACGTCTTAGTGTCTTGCAGACAAGGAACTGTGTTGGATAATTGTATCTCAGAGTGGCTTAAAGGTTGTTGTTTACATAGGAATTGCTCAGAAACCAGCCAGAGCTGTAAATGGTACACATTTTGTTCCAGTATATTTTCTAGTATATTCACCAGCTTTGTGTGTGTGTGTGGTTTATGTATGTCTGCATTTATGAATGTAGAGGCCAGAGGTCACCAACCTATACCTACAGAAGTTATTCTCCCTCTTAGTTTTTGAGACAAGATCTCTTCTAAGCTAACTGGCCAGAGAACTCTAAGGACCACTCTGTCTCTACCTCCCTGAACTGGGATTACAGGCCTGTGTCAGTATGTCCAGAGGTTCATGTGGGTTCTGGGGATCTAAACTCAGGTCCCCTGCATCTGCGATGAGCACTTTCGCTGACCGAGCTTCCCCAGGTATCCACAGTTCTGACCAAGACAGCTCATTCCTGCCAAGTACCCAGGCTTTCCCTGACAAGTGTGCTCATGGGAAGTTTAAGCCTCCCTGACTGCTGTTTCCAGGTGCTTTGAAATAAAGGAGAATGAGGAGATGAAGGCAAAATGGTACAGAATTCCCACCTACAAGGAACATGGGGTCTCTTGTTTTGTTCTGTTTCAGTTGCCGTTTCATTAAATGCATGTGAGTGTAGCTAAAAATAGTTGTATTTTTTTAAATCCCTAAGAAGATAATTTCAAATGGAAAATATGTAAAGAAGGTGAGGTGCTGGGTCATCAAGCAGCTTGATCCAATCACTGCACACTGTGTTCACAATTATAAACCACACATTTACATGATCACAAATTATTACTTTTTAATTAAGAGGAAAGAAAACTGCTGACCAAGTTACACTAAGAACTCAGACATTATAACCAAACCATGCTGGGGTTGAAAGTCCTGCCCCCATGGACCCAGTTAACATAGCTCCACAGTATGAGAGACCCAGCATTGAAGGGACACCAAAGAAGCTCCCTGGCGTCTACCTGACACTTAAAAGCAGCTTTCCTCCTCCTCTGTCTCTGCCGAGCATTGTGTTGGGTCCCAGGGATGCAGATGGATGCAGTTCCCTTGGCTGCGAGACAGTGGTGACCTGTGAGTAGGCACAGGCAAATTGGTTAAGACACAGAGGGAGGGCACGGCAACCCTGCACATAGCCTGCCTGTCCCAGGCTTCCATACATGCTGCCTGGGCATGGGCTGCCTATGCTGCGTTGATGAAGAGGCAACTCTGAAAGCAATGGGCAAGCAGAACTGTTATGAAGGAGAGATGTGAACTCTGTTAAGTACTTGTCTTAAGTACTTAACAGACAAAAATACCTGGCAGGCACCAGTGTTCGAGGTGATCCAGTTTATCACAGTGGCAAATGTGTGGCGGCAGGAGCAGGCCAGCCATCCTGTCATACTGTGTCACTAACCCGGAAGCACAGGGTGAGTGAGACGTGGAGCCAGGCTCACCCTCAGTGACCCATTTCCTCCAGCAAGTCCCGCCTCCTGCTGGTGACAAAGTGTCTAAATCCATGAGCAAATGAGGGACAATTCACATTCGAACCAGAACATCCACAACAGATCATGGGACAGTTAGGCTATCAAACAGGAATGGAGAGATGCGAGATGGGATGAGCCCCTTTCTGCACTGAATTCTTAGAAAGACAGCAGAAATGGACCCAGATTCCCTGACCTGTGTTGACTACACTAGGAAGGCAAGCAGCCAGGCTGGTCCTCAGCATTGTAACGTTAAAGTCATATCAGCCATGAGCTCTTGTCTGGTTTCCGATCCAGTGTCAACAGTCATTTTTTTATTCCCTTGGATCCAGAATGCTGGGACTAAATAAAGAAATTCTGTTTGTCCAGAGAGTCTCTTGACAAGCTCTCCCAGAGAGGGCAGCTTCTCAGCGAAGAAGGCCATAGTGCGGGGAAGGGAGGCCGCCGGAGCACCCAGCTCCTTACCAGCTACCAGAACCTTCTTAGAACAACCAAGGAGAGACTGCGCAGCTGTCAGCTGGCCCTGCAGGAGCACGAGGCGCTGGAGGAAGCCACGCGGAGCATGTGGGCCCGGGTGAAGGATGTGCAGGACAGGTTGGCTTGTGCGGAGAGCACCCTCGGGAACAAAGAGACACTGGAGGGACGATTGTCACAGATCCAGGTACACACAGCCCACAACCGCTGCCCACTGCTCCAATTCGATGTGCAAAAGCTAGGATTGGCCCCAGTGGTCCAGGAAGTGTCAGAAGAAAATGTGGGAGATGGGGAGGAATGGATTAAATACTCAGAGAAAGTGTTTGTTCTCCTCTTGGAAAAAGAAACATTGTTTTAATAGCTTTAGGTTTGTTTGCTTGCTTCATTCAGTAGTTAGCCATCAAAGTTTTCTAAGTCCTTAGTCCATTACAAGTACCATGAGAATTGCTGGGAATACAGAAACAGTGGTTAGTCCCTGTGTTTCAGGAGGTCAGAGACCAGAGTGCAAATTGTTACTGCAGATCGTAGGTCTAGGCTGTAAATGGAGTGACGAGAGTTTTTTTTGTAAACACAAATCAGACAAACCTCTGGTGGACGTGACCTTGAGCAATGGGAATCAGCCAGGGAATGAAGGGAGGAGAGGTTACATTCTGTGAAGGTGTATCTTCGTGTCTAAGTTAATTTTCACTCACTGAAACCAGTCAACAAAATTGTAATTGTTGGCTGGTGGCCTAAAGTTTTCCAAGAATTTAAGTTGATCTTTGGACCCTAGACTTCTGATGTGTAGCTTATATTATTCTAACCTAGGATCTGGGCCTATTTATTGCTTTCATTTTACAGTGAAATATTGCTACCTCGGTTATCTTGGTGGGGAGATGGGGAGTGCATGCTTAAGTGTGTGCGTGCCTGTGGTGCTGCCATTCCTCAGTCACCAGCCACCGTGTTTTCTGAGAGTCTTTCATTAGCCTGAAGCTCCTGTAGCAGGCTTGGCTGGAAATCCTGGATCTGCCTCCCCAGGGCTAAGGATACAGGCACACGCCACTAGCCCTGGCCTTTTTATGTGGGTTCCAGGGGTTAAACTCAGTTTGTGGACTGAACTATTAGACCCTGGTCTTCTGGATCTAGGAAGCAGCCATTGTTCAGCACAGCAGGTTTTCATATTCCCACTAATGACATTTCCTTCTCTCTCCCCAGGACATTCTCCTTATGAAAGGTGAAGGAGAAGTGAAGCTGAATCTGGCCATCGGCAAGGGGGACCAGGCCTTAAGAAGCAGCAACCAGGAGGGTCAACAGGCGATTCAGGCTCAGCTGGAGACGCTTAAAACGACATGGGCTGATGTCATGGGTTCTGCGGTCCATGCACAGAGGTGCCACAATCTTCTCTAAGTGCTCCTTAGCCCAAATAAAACCCCGAGGTTCCGTGAGGTTCTGGCACAGCATCGGGGCAGCCTGTGGTAGAGTTACCAAGCATGTTATTTTGCTATGTGCAGGCATGCCTGTCTTTGCCTGCGTTATATCCCCCATGGGGCAAAGACTTGTACTGATATGTTCGTATGCTTTGCTGGTGTGTTTTCTTTTTAAAATATTTTTGTCTGTTCCTCCTAATCTCACAACCTCCACCCTTCACCCCAGCGTCTCTCATTGAATCTTGCACATAACACAAGCTTGGGAAAATGCCTTTTTTTAAGCAGAGAATATTTTTAGAAATATTTAATAATAAGCCAAACAATTCTTTAATAGCTCTTAGCTGTTTAAAGACATGTGCAAGGAATTGTTGATGCTAAATTATAGTGCTGAGAACCACGCTTAAAGTGTACATCTGTCCTTCATCCTGGAGTCATCACACCTAACTGGTGATAAAAAATGTGTGGAGTGCTTCTGGCTATCCAAATGATACAGATAGCCAGGTATTTAGTGGCTAAGTGCTAAGAGATGAAATTCTACAAAGTGGGGAATGTTCTTCTGCTGCCAATCATTAACTGATTGGGAAGTCTTTAGACCTGTTGCATTATGGTCTGACTCCACTCATGCATGAAATCTATAAAGGTTCACAGTAGAATGGTGATTACCAGAGACCAGGGAGTGCATCAGGAGGCAAGATGGGAAAGGATCCTCAATGTATACAAATATAGTTAGATAAGAGCAGGAGAATGTGCCATGCTGCTCCATATATAGCAGGATGAGGAAAGATCATAATTATATGGTACACATTTCAAAACCCTAGGAGGAAATGTAGGGAAAAGACTCACCATAGAATTAACATAGAGCTTTGTCAAGAGAGGCGTGTTTGGTTTGATTAAAACACACATATCCACGTATTGAAATACAATATGGCACCATTAACATACAGAAGTTTCTGAGTCATTTAAAAAATAATTTTAGTCGATAAGAAAGAAGAAAGAAGGGAAAAGAGGAGAGGGTCCCAGGCCTGCCCTGTATCAGTTACTGATGGAGAAGTAGAAAAAGGTATTTTTCCTTGTGTGTTATTCATAAGAGGAGTCTTCCTTCCAGGAGTCTCTTCTCACGTTTACTGTACATAGACAGCTGTCTTGACTGGTAAATAACTACCACTGAGAGTTAGACTAAAACACAGCCCAGAATCCATATTCTGAATGCTCTCTACCATCCCACCACTCCAGAAGTGGGTCCCCGAGGGACTGCAGCAAATACATAAAGAGCAGATGGAAGCTCAGCGCAGTCAGAAAACCCACTACGGCATCTCCTACTATACAGGCAGTAGCAGGGGTCCCTAACACTAATGGGGGTTTTGCTTGCTTGTTTGCTTTGCTTCTTGGTTTTTATATTAAGAGAAAGTGGTCTAGGCAAACAAGACATTGCATCCTCATCATAACTCCTAGTGATCAGCAAAGAAAAGAGTCAGACCCTGTGGGGCTCCCCCATTCTATAGTAAGGCTGCTAGAGCATAAATAACTTCCTGGTGCCTGGCAACGGACCAGCTTTCTGCTTTGTAGAACTGAATAGGGATGTGGGAGAACTTTTTTTTTCAAATATTACAATAAAATGTTAAATCCGGGAAACAGATTCAGAGCTCTGACTCTTATTTCAGCAAGAAATTAAACCCGACAGCTACTTGCTGGGTGGTTTCCTTGTTGAAGTGATTGTGGCAAACAATGAGCCCAAACAAAATCCTTTTTTGCCTTCTAGGAGATCAGAGGCTAGGGAGGAGTACACACTCCAGAGAGCTCAGACTCAGACTGCATTGCCAAGAGTTTTCAAAAGACCCTCAGCTGTGGCCGAAGATGGCTTTGGTGACTCTTGGAGTATGATGACATCGATGTAGACATTTTATAGACTCTCAGAAAAGACGGGACTCTGAGCTGACATAATGAGGGTCATGCTAATATAGAAGCATCACTGGAAGTTCATTGAGGATGTTATCCTGACTCCAAAATAGAGAGAGTGCTATGTAAGAGACACTAGGGGCATTCACTCAGCATGAGCTGAGAGTAGTGTGTTAGTCAGCTGATTGCTTCCTAGCCAGTTAAAGGTCTTGCATTTGAGTGGTGGTGGTGTCATGGGAGGTGACAGAGAGAGAAGGTGAAAGTAAGGAGGGAATGAGACAAGGAAAGAGGGCAAGGGAAGGCGAGAAAAGCAAAGAGGAGAGAAGAAGAGGGGAGGGGAAAGGAGGGGAAGGAAAAGGAGAAGAGAGGAAAAACAGGGAGGGGAAGGGAGAGGAGATGAAAGGAAGGCAGAGGACTAGAGGGGAAGGGAAAGCAGAGAAGAACAGAGGAGAAGAAAGGAGAGATTATTATAAAGCTCCTTATATCATTTCCGTATGTCATTCTGGAGAGCATTTTTATTTTTCTATTAGGAAATCTGGTGATGTGACTGTTAAATTTGTGACTATATTTTCCATAAATATATTGAGTCCTCATTCATTCACATATTTAACAAAAAAGAATTGGACATTATGCGTGTACAGTCTTAAATGATAGTATTTACCCAAGGAAAATCGCTTAAATTTAAATGTTACTGATTACAATCTGATTTTAATAATATAGATTAAGCACAAGAAAAAAATCTGAGACCTGGTATGTACTAAGGAGAATTTAATTAACAGTGTAGTACTGAGCTTTCATAACTACAATGTTAAAACAATGTAATATATAAATTATCTGTTCACTTGAGACAATTAGCATTTGGAAGATATGTGTCTGTGTGTGTGTGTGTGTGTGTGTGTGTGTGTGTGTGTGTGTCTATGCGTATGTAGCAGCTTGCTTCAAATTCTAGCATACATTAATTTTGTTTGAAGTAACTGTACCCTAATTGTAGCAGATCAAAAAAGTTGTTTCTCCCTACACTCCCTGCAACATTTCCTCACAATAATACCCAGCAAAGCACTTTAAATAGATTTGTTGGTGCAATAATTGTGTTTTGGTAGAGAAGCCAAAGCTGAAACTCAATTTTACAGTGTGTGACACTTGTTCTAGCACGCTGGAGTCTGTGATTGACCAATGGAATGACTATCTCGAGAAGAAAGGCCAGTTGGAGCAGTGGATGGAAATTGCTGATGAGAAAGTAGAGCATCCTGTACAGCTGCAGCCCGGCCTGAAGGAGAAGTTTTCCCTGCTGGACCACTTTCAGTCCGTCGTCTCTGAGGCAGAGGATCACACAGGAGCTCTGCAGCAGCTAGCCGCCAAGTCCAGGTTGCTATACAAAAAGACCCAGGATGAGTCTTTCACAGAAGCCAGCCAGGAGGAACTGAGAACACAGTTCCAGGACATAGTGACTGTGGCCAAGGTGAGCACTTTAGGCAAAAGATTCACAGTGCAAGTAAGGACCCTTACGTGGACTGAATTACTGGACTGCTAGTCTGAAACTATGTGTAAGTTTGGTGGGCAGGAGTTCCACAAAGACTCTTTTCCAGAAAGATGGGACTAGAGAGAGTACAGCTAGGAATGCAGAGGAGAGGCTGCCTGAGAAAGAAAAGGGACCAGTTAGACTTAAAGGGAAGGAAATGCAGGAGGGCTACGGGAAAGGGGAGCAAAAGAGACATGCAATGATGCCTGTGCACGAAGGCGCTGTGGCAAAACCGTTACCGTATGCGCGGGCCTAAAGATTAGCTTGCAGACAGACAGACAGACAAGAGATCTGCACACGCACTGCTCACTCTGCAGCCCTGCCAACAGTCTTTGCTCTTTACGTTTGTCCTTACCTACATCATCGGCGGACTCATCTGCTTTCTTTGTGAGACTGAGCATCGACGGTTAATTTGTGGTTCCCCTGCATTTACCTTTAAAATCTTAAAACCTGAATATTTGTTTAAATTCTCAGATTCAAACAAGAATTAAGTTTATTTATCCAGTAACAAAACCTGCATTTTCCTATTCTCTAAACACACACACGTCTATGGGTGCGTGTGTATGTGTGTGTGTGTATGCGCACGTGTGTGTACACTTCATACACATAATTTCATATACTTAATTCCCTTCATGATCTACATTTACATACTTATGACTATTACAGAAATTACCGAGTGGAGATTTGTGTTTGTTTTCCCCTATTTTGCCTTTTGAGAGCTCTGAGTTGTTGATTCTGTCATCATCAACATAAATGTTTATTTACCCTTATTTTTATCTTTTACTCAGAAAGATGCAAGTGTGAATCCCTAACCCTAACGCTATTGAATATGTGCTTTGTGTGTGTTGGCCTCTCCCTTAGCTTGTGCATCCTTTGCTGTCACATCTGTTGTCAATCGGATTTAACGCATTGGAAAATGCTGTGGGAAGTGCAGTTATAAGTAATGATACAGTTAGCAGCAATTATAATAGGTATGATTACTTAGCTTGTGAAGGTTGTTAGTCAGCATGTATTAAGTACAGATCTTTATGCTGAGCTACAAAATACTAGACTTAAGAAGGAAATGGGTTTGTTTTTTTCAAAGATTTATGGTTTCCTTCTTTCTTTGAGACAAAATTTCACTGGGTATTCATGTCTGGCCCTGGAGCTCCATATGTATACCAGAGATGTATACCATATGTATTCTCAGAGATTTGCCTGCCTGTTTCCCAAGCAATGGCTTCTTTTTAAGCTATAAAATTCACAGAGGCCCAAGAGTAAAACTGAAGTCTTCTGAGCTACATCAAGACCTCTATGGAGTCTGTCATTTCACCCTATTTCATGTTCTCCGTAACCACGACTGTTCATGTGCTTCCTCTTTCTTCACTAGGAGAAAATGAGGAAAGCAGAGGAGGTTGTGAAAGACCACCTCATGTACTTAGATGCCGTCCAGGAATTCACAGATTGGCTCCACTCAGCAAAGGAAGAGCTTCACCGGTGGTCAGATACATCTGGAGACTCATCGGCTACCCAAAAAAAGCTATTGAAAATTAAGGTGAGCGAATGGGCCTATATTGATCCACAGGCACTTCAGTATGGTTGCAGATTCCTGTTAAGGACTTCGTGGAAAAGATTCATGTTTTTCCTGGGTTCTGTTTTTTTAATGTTTTCTTCCTGGTTTTGGGTGGTGCTTTATTGTTCCATACATCAGTAATTCTAAACAAAGTTTATGAAAAATTGGAAGAAATTTATTTCCATTTTTGAGCAAATTGTAGCTGTGTCTGTATGTGTTTCTATACGGAGATGTACTTATCACTATAGCATAAGAGACTAAGAAATACCACGCTGATGGGCTGACAAAATCAGTGTAACCAGACCTTAGGACACTTTTTAAAGTTTAAGCTTAAAAGCCAAAGGACCTTCTGTATTATCTTTCATCTCCTGACTTTCTAGCTATGTTTTTGGAAAAAAAAATCGCTTTTGTCAGTGTCCTCAAGTCTCATTATAACTACAAAAAGAATAACAAACTATGATTTTCGGGATCAGCTCTAAGGAGCTCTTTGGAGGATGGTTAGATATTCATATAAAAATGTGTAGCTCCCTGACTGGGCATGGATGGCACTCAGTAAGTAAGTCCACTGGGTTTGGGAAAGGGGGGCATTTGCTTTGCAAACAGTGCCAAGTTGAAGGAGTCAGGGTGAGCCAGGCATGGTGCCAAACACCTATAAGGTGAGTACCTAGGAGAAGAGGCAGGAGGGCGCCCACCAGTTTGATGCCACCCTGGTCTACATGGCAAGTCACAGACTAGTAAGGGACACATAGTAAAACCCTGTATCAAAAGAAACTCAACAAATGAATACAAATAAATGATCAAGCATACAAACAAGCAAGGATAATGGCTGCGGATAGAAGTTAAGTTGGGGTACTTGCAGAGAAGCCTTTTGTAAGGGTAGATGGGGGGATCAGTGACAAATCAAACTTGCACCAGCAGGTGGGAAAAGTCCAAGAGGCTGTGCATTCTTGTATCATTTGTTCAGGTTAGGAAGCGCCTTTGAAGAGCTAATGTTACAAATTCCTAAAACAAAGTCTGTATTTGGAGTCCCGAGACAAGATGGATCTATGCCACATCCAACAAAAAGAACATGGGACGCACACCCAAACCCCAGGCAGCCCTAAGGTTCATAGGAGTGTTGAAAGAGAGGAGAAACGCATGGTCACCATCACTGCAAAGGCTGAAGGTCACCTCTGGGTGGCCACTGGGCCATTTCCACGGTGGGGGATGGGAGTGGGGAAGGGAGGGCAGGTGAGGAACCAGTCATATTTCATGGATTTAGGAAGAAATGGAAGCTAAGGAAGAGGGGACAGCAACAAATGGATCAAGCTTTTGAAAAGTTAATTTGAAAAATCTTTGAGGAGGAGAAGGAAGTACCTCTCCTGCCTGTCAATGCTCTGACCACTCCATGCCACAGAAACAATCATTCAGACTATGTAACTTAGAAACTCAGTATCTATATAGATGAACATGTGTGTGTGTATGTGTGTGTGTGTGTGTGTGTGTGTGTGTGTGTGTGTGTGTGTGTAGAGAGAGAGAGTTCACATACATGGCAAGAAAATCTATGCAAAATCGAATTTGAAGCACAGCAGTTGAAGACCTTGATTAGAGCTGAGGAGATGGCTGCATGTGTAAGAACACTTCTTCCTCTGCAGGCATGGGGACTTGGCTTTAATTCTCAGCACTCAATAAAAGTTCCACATGGGGCATCATATGTAAAAGGAATTTATTTTTATTCACCTTTTTCGACTGTTGTCTCAGAGGATTATTCTTCTTTCCTCTCTTCTTGAGAGTTCAGCATATCCTATTCTGTCAAATCTTTCTCAGATTCATCACTTTAACTGCCACTCAATTAAACTTCACTTTCAAACATGGGTGCTTCCTTCTACAAACTAACTTTACCTTCATTGTTTGGGATTAACGACATGTACCACCATGCCTGGGCCGAACCTTTTCTTTACCTGAAAGTTGCTCTATGCTAGCTAGGCTGGCCTTGAACTCAGATCTGCTTGCCCCTGTCTCCTGGATTAAAGGCGTGTTTATATTTCAGCTGGATCACACAGATCTAGAAGATCTTTGGATGTGATCTCTTGCCAGAGCAGCCATGTTCTGAGTCAAAATTCCTCTACAACTTTCCCTCTTCTGTTTAAGCCAAAAAGTGTTCACAGTTTAACTTTTACAATTATCAGCCCACGAATTTACCAATCTGAATGTGTAAATACCCTGAGCTGTGTGCCCGTAACCCCAACACTGCTGAATGGAGACAAGTGGTTGCTCATGAACCTAAAAAAAAGGTCAGCTTCTGGTTCAGTGAACTGTCCTACCTATCAGGAGAGTCAGGACTCCTGATGTCCGGTTCTGATCTCCGTATTCATACATATAAGCCATGCACACCTGTTCACTTGTGTGTGTGCATATGCCCACAATACAAAAAAAAAAAAAAAAAAGAAAGTCTGTGAAAGGAGTCACAGGTTAGCACGTATGGGCCTGTTTTCATGCCCAATGAAGAAGAGATAACGAATAGGAGGGCATTTGAGGAAACTGACTTTTGACAGTGGAGACTTTGAATTCCACATTTGAAAACCATTATGTTTTAAAACATTCTTGTTAAATTTAGCACTTTATCTTTTTTCTTTTTATATTATTATCATTTATTACAATTTATTCACTTTGTACCCTGGTTCATCTCCTTCCAATCCCACCCTCCCTGCCTCTTCTCCTCCCATGCCCCTCCCCAGTCCACCTGACTCTAGCTTATCAGGTCTCATCAGGACTGGCTGCATTGTCTTCCTCTGCGACCTGGTAAGGCTACACCCTCCAGGGGGAGATGATCAGAGAACCAGCCACTGAGTTCATGCCAGAGAAAACCTCTGCTCCCCTTACTAGGGAACCCACTTGGAGACTGAGTTTATGGGATACATCTAAACCATGGTTTTAGCTCATCTCCATGCATGGTTTTTGGTTAGGGTATCAGTCTCTGCAGGGTCCCTAGGGCCCAGTTTTGTTTTGTTTGCTTTGGTTGTTTTTTTTTTGCTCTGTTGGTCTTCTTTTAAAGCTCCTGTCCCCTTGAGGTCTTCCTGTCTCCCCCTTCTTTCATAAAATTCTATGCCTTCTACCAAGGTTTGACTATGACTCTCAGTCTCTGCTTCGATACCGTGATCAAAAGAGTCTTTCAGAGGCCATCTATGGTAGGCTCCTGTCCTGTTCCCTGTCTTCTTCTGCTTCCAATGTCTATCACATTTGTTCTTCTGAATGAGGATTGAGCATCTTCCCTAGAGTCTTACTTTTTGTTTAGTCTCTTTAGGAGTATAGATTTTAGTATGTTTATCCTATATCATATGGCTAATATCTACTTAGGAGTGAGTATATACCATGTGTCTTTCTGCTTCTGGGTTACCTCACTCTATGATCTTTTCTAGTTCCCACCATTTGCCTGCAAATGTCATGATTTGTTTTTGTAATAGCTGAGTAATATTCCATTGTGTAAATGTACTACAATTTTTATATCCTTTCTTCAGTTGAGGGATATCTGGGTTGTTTCCAGCTTCTGACTATTATGAATAAAGCTGCTACGAACATGGTTGGCAAATGTCCTTGTTGTATACTTGAGCATACTTTGGACATATGCCTAGGAATAGTATAGCTGGATGTTGAGGAAGCACCATTCCTAATTGTCCAAGAAAGTGACAGATTGATTTCCAAAGTGGTTGTACAAGTTTGCATTCCCACCAGCAATGGAGGAGGGTTCCCTTTTCCCCACATCCTCTCCAGCATGTGTTGTCACTTGAGTTTTGATCTTAGCCATTCTGATGGGTGTAAGGTGAAATCTCAGGGTCGTTTTGATTTGCATTTCCCTGATGACTAAGGATGTTGAACATTTCTTTAAGTGTTTTTACTGCCATTCGATATTCCTCTATAGAGAATTCTCTGTTTAGCTCTGTACCCCATTTTTAAAACTTGGATTACTTGGTTTGTTGGTGTTTAACTTCTTAAGTTCTTTATATATTCTGGACATTAGCCCTCTGCCAGATAAAGGCTTGGTGAAGATCCTTTCTCAATCTGTAGACTGTCGTTTTGTTCTGACAACAGTGTCCTTTGTTTTACAGACGTTTTTTAGTTTCATGAGGTCCCATTTACTGATTGTTGATCTTAGACCCTGTGCTGTTAGTGTTCTGTTCAGGAAGTTGTCTCCTGTGCCAATGAGTTCAAGGCTCTTCCCCACTTATTCTTCTAACAGGTTTAGATGTATGCTGTTATGTTGAGATCTTTGATCCACTTGGACTTTAGTTTTGTGCAGGGTGATAAATATGAATCTTTTTGCATTTTTCTATGTGTAGACATCCAGTTAGACCAGCACCATTTGTTGAAGATGCTGTCTTTTTTCCAATGTATGGTTTTGGCATCTTTGTCAAAAATCAAATATCTGTAGGTGTGTGGGTTTATTTCTGGGTCATCTATTCAATTCCACTGATCCACCATTCTATTTCTATGCCAATACCATGCAGTTTTTATTACTGTTGCTCTATAGTACAGTTTGAGATCAGGGATGGAGATACCTCCAGAAGATCTGTTATTGTACAGGATTATTTTAGCAATTCTGGTTTTTTTTCTATATGAAATTCAGAATTGTTGGATTTAGTACTTTCTAAGCTATGATTTTTCTCTTTTGAACCACTAACTATTCTATATCCTTTTTTTTTCATTTTTTTTGTTTGTTTTTTGGTTTTTTTTGAGACAGGGTTTCTCTGTGTAGCCTTGGCTGTCGTGGACTCACTTTGTAGACTAGGCTGGCCCCAAACCCTGAGATCTACCTGCCTCTGCCTTCCAGAGTGCTGGGATTACAGGGGTGTGCCATTGTGCCCAGATCACTCTGTACTTACAAACAAAAATGACTTTTAGCGTCCTGTTGCTGAGAAAGGCTGACTACGTACACGTGAAGGGGTGTTTGTAAGAACACAGTTACACGTGTGAACAACTCACATCTCACACGATTGTGCTTTTTGCCACCATGTAATTAGGCACTGTAAATGATCTGCACCAAAGTGTGCCTCTATTGTTCGTACATATGGAAGGTAGATTAACTTCAGGCTCATCAGATGAAATGCAAGGAATGTTATATGGACTGGTTAAAACACCTGTTCTGCTTCACACATCTATGACACATGTCTGATACGATAATCAATGCCTCATGTTTCTGTTGTTAACTTGTAACTGGTCTTGTTCATTATTTCCTGCTTTTCCTCCTCTTCCTCCTCTTTCTCCTCCTCTTCTCAGTTTTGTCTCTAATAGCCTCCTTTCTTTCTACGTAAGGCTGGAGTGAAGACATAATTTTCTTTAACACCGACAGAATCCAGCTTTAATGATACATGGCACAAATATGTACGCACCCGATGACCATTTTACACAAGAAAAAATATATCATTAGAAGCGCTGATTTTTAAAGGAAATTGACGCAAGTTATCAATTTTCCAATGATTATTCTAATTACATCTTAAAGCCCTTTCTTTATGTGAGCCTCAAGAAGGAACAGTATCTGAATTGCCAAATTTCTGTGAGATTTCTTTTTCTGAGGGGAAAAAAGTGGCAGCAATAAACAAACCCAACCTAGAGTGTGCTTTAAACTTATAATTAAGTTGGTCTGTGAATTGTTAATTTCAGTGGCTATAAAAAAATGTACCTAAGGAGGCTTAGGTACAGAACTATCTGAGATTGAAGCACTCATTCTCTTCTTGATGGGGATCAGGGAGAACGTGATTTAAGCCTCCCTTCTGTGGAGATGATGGGAATGAGGTAGGAACCCCAAGCAGGGCACATTCCATCTGTCCATCCACAGAAGGGGGAATGAAGTTTTCTGGGATTCTTTTTAGTCTGTAGGGGCCGAACACCACAGGTCACCACCACACTTCCACGTATCTAAATAATGCCTGTGTTCAGCATGCCTGACCCCACCCGTGAGGACACCGGGAGGCGCTGAGTGATTCTGCAGTAAGTCAGACACTCATGATACTGACGGCTGCAAATACAACTAGGCAGATTGTAGACACAGCGACTGGAATTCCTTGTGCACATTCACTCAAGCTTCATGGCGGGACAGAGTACCCGTTCTGCACACTTTTGAAAACTGGCAGCCCAAGTGACTAAGGGCCTCCTTGGTTTCCATGGCGATATTCCATTACAGGAGCTGATAGATTCCAGAGAGATCGGCGCAGGCCGCCTAAGCAGAGTGGAGTTGCTGGCCCCAGCGGTGAAACAGAACACAGCTGCCAGTGGCTGTGAGCTTCTGAACTCGGAGATGCAGGCCCTGCGCGCCGACTGGAGGCAGTGGGAGGACAGCCTGTTCCAAGCCCAGAGCAGCCTGGAGAACCTGGCCAGTGAAATGGCCCTCTCAGAGCAGGAGTTCTCTGGCCAGGTGGCCCAGCTCGAGCAGACCCTGGAAGAGTTCAGCACTCTTCTGAAAGCCCGCGCCCAGCAGCTCAGCCTCCTGGAAGGCAAGAACACTGACGAGGAGATCGTGGAGCGCTGGCATACGGGACAAGTAAGTGGCCGCCTTCCTGTTTACCACGGGGGTGGGTTCGCTAAATATTTCTTAGGCTCTCGTGGTTGCTAAAAACAAAACGAAACAAAACATGAGCCCGTGCTAGCTAAGTGCACACATCATCCAAAGGCAGGAAAAAAAAACATATTTCATAAATTTGCAAAGTGTCATTTTTTTCCCTTCTCCTATAAATCAAATTCTGGTAAAAGTTAGCATATGTAGGAGAGGGAGGTGCTATTACATCCCGTAGGAAACATTATCTCTGCTTGAGATATTTTACTTTCTTTCTGATGGGGTAAGAGTTTGCAATACTGTATTCAGCCATTGAGTCTGGAAAATGGCCTGTGAGCAGAGGCATAAATAGACAGAGAGTCATAGCTGCTGTCCCGCCAGTTAACTCTTTCAAACAGTTAAGTGATTGGATTTATAGCTTTGAAAGACACATTAGATAATCCACTGAAGCACAGCCAATAGTTTTCCTGGTGTCTGCTTTTCCTCTTCGTGGTTTTGACAGCTGAATTAGCTTGTTAATACAGATTAATACTTACTAGTTGCCTTCCAGCCCCCCCGCCCCCATTTTCAAACTGTTACCACTCTTAGAATATGAAAAAAGGAAGCAGAAAGGGAGCATGAGCTGAAGCCTTAGAAGCTCTTCCTTCTTTGACTCCTCTTGGGTGCTCTCAATATTAGCTGCTTTATAATGCTAAGAATCATGGCTGTCCTTAAAAGGAAGTTTAGTGAAGTCAGTGTCTCTGCTTCTATTTATGTTATAATCATTTCGAAATAGCTCCAGTCATGGGGTATTTCCAGCACCGTTTTGTTTAAATGAACTTCTTGTTGCAGGCGTGGTACGCCAGGAAAGAAAAGCTCATAACTACCTGGGTGCTGTTTTACTGAGAATGCCTCTCAGCTGCTTTGCTTCCTTCATGCTTCCCTCAGCCTCTTTAGGTTTGCCACCAGAATCAAGCCAGAATCACAGTCGCTTCGTTCTGCAGTGCAGGGACAGAGAGAGGGCCCGGAAACTGTCTCCATGGGGCTTAATTATTAATATTTGAAAAAGAAAAGTCGCAGTATTTTGGCTCTTTTTCTGTTTGCCTTTCTTTTTGGTCTACTAATGTGAACAAAAGGAACTTTAAAGAAAAGTCTGGTGTAGCTAGAATCACAATACTGTTTTCAATGATCATCTCCTGTGTTGGGATTGGCTCATAGATGAGGGCTATAAGGATACACATGCTGATGCAATCAGAAACTCGGTTGTGCTGAGTCCAGGATGACAGGCAGTCTCTGCTGTCACATCTGTGTCTGACTCTAGGGCTACAGAATCTGAGGACAGTAGGACATTGTCTCAGACTGTCCTATTGTCACCATCACCTCCAGTCACTCTCACCTGATGACACCAAGTCAATAGTCATCTAATGCTACAAGTTTATCCAAAATGTAAGCTAACACTACAAATTCCATGAGCGTGTAACAAATGTTGGTAAAATAGATGGACTTGTGTCTGACAGCACCCATTTGCCATTAGGAATGATGATGGCTGCCAGTCACAGCAAACACTCTAGGCCATTGTACGTGTTGATCTTACGTCACCAGGAAGTTTAAGGTGGATGGCCGTGAAGGTGGATAATACATTGCAAACACATCTGTTATTTGTATTTATAAAATTCATTTAAAAATCACTGGCTTATTGATTTGGAAAATGCTGTTATTTTCTTTAACTGGACGATGAAAAGAACTTGGTAGGACCAAAAGAATATGAATCAGTGCAGTGTTCATGAGATTAAAGATCCTACTAAAATATTGTATTTGAGATGAAGTTATAGCGTGTTTTTAAAGGTTTATTTTATTTCTGGATGTGTTTGTACACATACATGTATGCCTACACATGGATGTGCAGGTGTCCATGGAAAACAGGCGAGGGTGTCAAATCAGGGTTGACACGGGGTTGTAGCTGGAGTTATCAGTGGTTCTGAGCCACTCAGAGTGGGTGCTGGGAACCCAACTTGGATCCCCCATGAGAAAGTAGAAATTGCTCTTAACCACTGAGCCATCTCTGCAGCCCCATGAATACATTTTTAGATGTAAACTTTAGCTGAAAACCTTTTCACTTTTAATGTCACCTAATTTACAATTTACCTACGTAAACCTCATTTTAAGAAAAAAAAAATTGGTAGATAATTATATTTCATTAGTTCTCATGATAGTTCCCTTTTAAAAATGTTCAATGTGGCTAAAATAATCTTAAAAAGGTTCTTTCTGGGTTAATGTTTAGAGTTTCAAAAAGACACTGTATAGTTACTTTTATGAATTTTTCTAAATAAAAGTGTTTCAGAGGGCTTTGGGATATAGGTCAGTGATAAACTGCTTCATGGCTTGTTGTGAGGCCTTTGATTTCATTTCTAGGACCACAAAAAAAAAAAAA